TCTAGCCATCCGTTCGTCCATCCATCCATCCATCTGTCTATCTAGCTATCTATTCATCCATTTATCCATCCATTTATCCCTCCATCCATCCATCCATCCATCCATCCATCCATCCATTTGTCTATCTAGCTATCTGTTCATCCATTTATCCCTCCATTTATTCTTCCATTTATCCCATTTATCTATCTATCCATCCATCCATCCATCCTCTTTCTAGCCATCATCCATCCGTCCATCCCTCCGTCTATCTAGCTATCTGTTCATCCCTCCATCCATCCCTCCATCCATCCCTCCATCCATCCCTCCATCCACCCATCTATCCATCCGTCTGTCCGTCCGTCCGTCCGTCCATCCATCCATCCATCCATCCATCCATCCATCCATCCATCCATCCATCCTTTTTAAGAGTCTCTGAGCTACAGCACTGTGAATTAAACCTTTATCTGCATGTTGAATCGGATGGGAAGTTTAAATGCCATGCCTAAAAAAGCCTTCATTCTCTTTCACAGCCACACCATGCTGTGTATTTTCACCCTATACTGTAAGTTTTTGTTGCCTTTGTGTGTGTGTGTGTGTGTTAGTTCACGACAGCAACACCTGCCATACTGGAAAATGCCTTGAGGTTTGTGTGCTTTACTGTGAGCCTGAAAGTGCAAGTGTTTACTCTCCTCTCCGTGTCTTTGTGTGAGCGCAGGCCAGATAAGAGCCGCCACGCACCAGACACACGCTCAACCAGTGTTTACTTCTGAGGAGGACAAACAGACGAGTGTGACCTGCAGCAGGCAGGTGTGACCTCCACAAGACACGCTTACACACATGACACCGGCTCAGATGAACAGACACATTTCTTTTCATAATGACACATTGTTGTGACACACCAATCACAAACGCATGCATTAATGCTCTTTCATAGCTGAGGATGCTAATTGGTGATCTCAGTTATGTTTCAATGTCGAATCACTTCTGTACGCGTGGGAATAAAAAATAGAAGTTGAAGTTGACACACAATAACAGTATAGAGCTGTAAAGTGAATGTGGAAAGATATTTGCTCTTGTCACTGTTCACAGGTTTGGGGTTTTGGAAAGAAGTCTCTTCGGCTGCTTTTATTATATCACATATACAGTAAACAGTAATATTGTAAAATATTATTACAACCTAAATAGTTGTTTTCTATTGTTATATTTTGTAAAATGCAATTTATTCCTGTGATTAAAGCTGTATTTTCAGCATCATTACTCCCATCTTTAGTGTCACATGATCCTTCAGAAATCACTCTAATATGATGATTTGCTGCTCAAGAAACATTTTATTGATATTATTATTATTATTATTATAATCAATGTTGAAAAACATTGTGCTGCTGAATAGTTTTGTGGAAACAGTTTTTTCGGGGTTCTTTGATTAATAGAAAGTTCAAAAGAACAGCATTTATTTGAAATAGAAATATTTTGTAACATTATATTTACTATCACTTTTGATCAATTTAATGCATCCTTGCTGAATAAAATTAATTTATTTAAAAAAAATATTTAAAATGAATGACCCGAAACTTTTGAATTGTAGTGTAGCATATTCATATACCATAGAATCCATGTCCAATAATAAAAAACAAAAATAGTACCGGCATGCTAAATGTCCCCAAACAAACATGCTGGCACCACTGTAACATGTTCAAAACACCATCAGAACTACGGTACACATCCAAACGGAAAAAGAAAGATGGTACTACGCATGGTAGTTGTTGGTATTTTATTGTTAGTGAAGGAAGTGCAATTAATCGGTCTCATTCTCTCTCCCAGCATGCACCAGCTCGCTGGATCCGACCTCAGATGATGGAGACCAGCTGAAATGTGTCCAGTTAAATCATTAGGACACACACTACAGGCCAGTCATTCAGAGAGGCAAGTAAAGTCAACATCCAGCCCTCTCAATGATGCTGAACTAACGCTGATTGATCACTGCCGGTGTGTGTGTGCGTGTGTGTGATCGGTTTCAGCTGTAAATCATACCAGCTTGTTGTTTGCTGTATCTTCAGATGCCTTTACCTTGTTTTGTTCTGGTTTGTAAATGTCGGCCTCAGTGTGTGTGTGTGTGTGTGTGTGTGTGAAAAGGCTTTATCTGCTGTTATCTCCGCCGGCCCGCTCTGCAGCTGCTCTCCACCTGTCACTCACACAGGGAGTGGTGCTCGTGGTCTGAGCTGTGTGTGTGTGTGTGTGTGTGTGTGTGTGCGTGTGCGTGTGCATGCGCATACACGCGCGTTTGTGATTACAGGGTCGCAGAGGGTTGCATTCTGTAATAAAATACACTGATGGAATGCATGCAAACATTAATTAATACTGAAGATGAGTATCGCAGGTGAAATTTCAAGCAGTGATGTGATATATTTAATTTAAAGCAATTTTTACTGCATTTTTCTAATTCTTGTGATTAATATGATCATGCTACTAAAGAGACAGCATGGAATATTTGTACTTAACTTTTGTATAAATTTTTTTGTGCTGATTATATATATTCTGTATATATACTGTGTGTGTATATATATATATAAATAATATGTAATAATATAAACAATGCAATATAAAATGATATGTGGAGCAATTATATTTATTTGCAAAGATGATACTTATTTTACAGTATAAAAATAAATCCTTATCAGCTTTTTTTTGCTGTTTTCACTAACAGATTTTATACAAGATGTAAATGTAAACGAGATATAGGCCTACTATATAATTAACAGATTTTTGGTTGAATAGTGGACGAGAACATTTATCATAAATATCAGGCCGGGCCAAGCTGTCACTTGTGTGTTATGTGTACATTTTATACAGTTTATTAAGCAAATTCTTCTCCAATCTGTGTCAATTGACAGCATGTTCCTGTTGTGACAACTTGCCCCAGGATAAGGCTCAACATGTGATATCTGGAAAAGTCATTCATTGGAATACAAATGTGACAACTAGCCCCGGGCTCTCATATAACGTTATTTTTGTATGAATTGCTGTCAGATTTGTAAGGCTCTATTTCTCATCTGTGAGGTGAGGGGGTTTGTGTGTGTGTGTGTGAAGAGCTCATGACCTTTGGGAGGCGTCTGCATAACAGCAGTGTGTCTGAGTGCTGCATTGTGGGATTTGGTGTCTATGGTGAATTCTCTTTTCAGCATCTGCAGAAAGTCCCCTGCATGCCGACACCAAGCAAGGCTATTTTCTGTTTTCATTACAGTATTTTCAAAGAATTTCAACCATAATTTCCCTCCTTCCAACCAACCCAGAGACTCCCAGTCTAAATTATTTTAATATTTTCTCTGTATCACCATTTATTAACTTTCATTAGTACATTAACATTATTACTGTGCATTATACAGTGTTTAACTGATCATGAATTAAGTCAAATACTTACAAATCTATCATTTTAATGATTCAATTTACATTTTTTCTGATAAAAATATATGCTAGTATATTTTGGATAGTTTACAATTAACATAGAAATACTGTACCTGCTCACCATCGAGTTTTTCACCATTTTTATTCACCCTTTAGCTTTTTAAAGTATCATTTAAAAAGTTCCATTTAGTCTCCGTATGATGTCACGAATTCTATAGGAATTAGAAAAACGTTTCAAATAGTTTTAGATGAAGAATTGCATCAACAATATCTTTAATATAACTATTTCCTGTGGAAAAGTCCTTTAAAGTTTCTGTACAGACTTACTGCATTGATTTGAAGTAAAACATCTGACAATTTGAATCACCGTAGCTTTTTAACTGGCCATTTAAAAGTACAAATATTCCATTTGTTCTCCATATGATGTCATACATTCTACTGGAATTAGATTTGTTTTTGCTGATGATGGTTAATAATCAGTTGTGATGAGGATGTCATTAATCACGGACACAGAGTTGTTGTAGGTTGATGTGTTTTATTAAGTGCAGACGTATCTTGGTACAGAATCCAGTTGGACACATTTCATAAGATGATGATGATGATGATGTATTTCTCTGTGTTCACAGTGTCTGGGTTTCCACATGACAACACGCACGATTGCTGGAATGTCACATCAAAAGTGGATCCCATTTTGACTTTTTGGACTGTTTATTATTATTATTATTATTATTATTATTATTTTAAGCATTTTTTGGACAAATAGCAACTGCAGAAACACACAAGCGGCGAACATGAAAAACGCAAGAAATAAATTAATAAACGATTGTATCTAATGCAAGGTGAATTTCCGACTTTCAGCAGACGAGGATCGATCTTTAGATCAATAAATGAAACATTTGGCTGTCGAGACAAATTTAAAATCAATCACAAATGAATTAGGCGAGCAAATAATTTAAATAAAACATTTGAAATAAATAAATAATAATGATAAGATAAATAATCACACACATTTACACACACACAATAATAATAATAATAACAATATAAAAATTATTATCAGCAACTGCAATCACTCCAACATTTACATGATTAAGGCAGTTTTACAGCATGTCGAGATCTAACTCAAGGCATTTCTGGCTACACTAAAGGGAGAAACCCTTGCCTGTAGGTTGTTTTGAAAGCTACAGTCAAAGTCCACAGATTCACAAGCTCTATTAAAGCTAGAAACGATGGAGACGTATGTACAGCCTGTGAACTCAAGGCATGTTCTAGGATTCTTAGGTCTAAAAGCTAAAAGCACTTGTGCGGAGATCCTAGAAAAATAAGCACACAGTCTAACCTGTTGTACCTCCTCCAGATAAACTACCTTACACGGGTCAAAATCAAGGTTCTGCATTGACATCGATGCTTCCATGAGGAACTTTCAAATGTTCTTCACACTAGGAAAAAAAACAGGTTCCTTTTCTTTCTTTTTTTTTGTGGAACCAAAAATGGTGGTCGCTGCGAAAACCTCCTTTTGGAACCTTTGTTTTTAAGAGTGTAGATTTGAAGACAGCAGGATTGGCATCCAGGTGCTCATCCAGGGGGATTCTGTGGGTTAAGGCAGTGCTTCCCGACCCGTTTTGGACGTCTTCTTCCTCCTATAATCAAACAGTTGTGTCAGATCCTAAATGTGCGCTGTTGTGGGACTGGGAAGCACTGGTTTAAGGCACAGCTTCAGCAGGCTGGACGCACCGGCATCTGAAGCAGGATGACCTGCCTGTTCTCCGACGGGTGGCATTTGTTGATGTGTCTCGTAAGTCCCGGTGAGCTGTAAAACATGGCGGGACAGTATTTGCACGGGTACACCTGCGCCGAGTGCTGCAGACGGATGTGCCTCTCCTGGCTCAGTCTGCTCGGGAAGTTTTCCCCGCACACCGGGCACAGGTGGCACTCGGACGCGCTGAGATTCAGAGGCGCTTGGCTTTGGGGTTTATCGCACGCTTCGTGAAGCGCCGTCACGTGCTTTTTCAGGTACGCTTGCCGTTTGAACTTCTTCCCACAGTGCGGGCAATCATACAGACCGTCTTCCGATCCAGACTCGGAAAGTCCAGGACTAGGAGTGTCCCTGTCGCTGGAGGTCTCGTGCTCTTTTTCAGGCGCGGGCGTCTTATTGCTTTCCGGGTTCCCCGGTTTGGGTTTGTGCCACCGCCGGTGCGAGGCCAGGTTCGCCGGGCAGCTGAAGAGCTTGTCGCATTCGGGGCATCTGTACTCGATCCGGACGATCCTGGAGCACTTGTGTTGGGCCAGAGAGAAGGGATCAGCGTACGCCTCTCTACACAGCTGACACACGAACTCTCCGAGCGGCTTGTCTCCTCCTGCGCACTGGGATCTGGGCTTCTGCTCGAGTGGACCTTCTTTGATCTTCAAGCCCAGCACTGGAGAAGTGGTCATCTCGTCCTCAAACTGCAGTTTCCGCATAGCTTTGGCTTTCTTGGACGCGGCTTTGCCTTTGCGCTCTGTGTCTGGTGCGGGTCTTTTCGTGGTTGTTGTGGTGCCGGTTCGGTTGCTGTTGCTGGTGCCGATTTTAAGATCCACGGGCGCGAACGGTGCGAGATCGGAGCTGTTGGGCGCCGCCGGGAAGGACTCCGCTGAAATAGGCGAGCCGAGATTGAAGCGCCTTTCCAAACATGCCCTCTCGTGCTCTCTGCTCACGGGTCGGGTCGGGCTGTACATGGATCGGTAGACTGTCTCGGGGTTCCCGAACTGCACTGGTGATACCGGGCGGCGCGCGCACAGCGCGTCCTGCTGCGCGGCTGGAAACGCGCCTTGCTCATCCTCATCCGAGCGGACGCGGTAGGAAACAGGTGTCGCTTTCTTATTTCTCTTGACTAAAAATCCTCTGGGCATCTTCGTCAGCTGAAAGGCACTTCAGACGGGTTGAAATCAGAGGCACACCTGGTACTATATTTGGACGCGTGCGGTGATCTTTCCATCACGGAGGCATAGCAGCAGTCTTTTTAAGCAGGAATGATGACATTGTTCTCGCCCCTCGCTGCCTCGTCCAATCAGATGGAGCTGGAATCCCTATGGATTTGCAGATGGGAGGGTCTGCAGATTGCTCGGGCAGATGTACCTGAGGTTTATTATATTAGGATGCTTTAGGCACACGCTGGTTCCTCCTCTTTTCACGCTTTGATGCGTCCCGTCAATACGCACGTGCCCTGCCTTTGTCAGCATCCTTTAGGGCTCCTTCAATCTTAGAGCATCAGAATTTCAAATTAAAAAGGGGGGAAATGGCAACAAAGAAGTCGTGCAATGTCCAATTTTTAATAGGCCCATACTCGCGTTTGCAAAGCAGCGCGGTTTAACACAAATGTCTTGAAATCAGTTTGTGCGGCGAACGGGCTGCAAGGTGCATGCGTAATTTGTCTCGAAACTAATTAAATGTATAAATCAGACGCCTGCAGGCTTAGGACATGTGCGACAGTTGAATGCGGGACGTATTAATCACTCTTTGCGCGCATACATAATTCATAAAAGAGGCTCCTCTCGTTTGCATCACAAAAGACACGCTTGCGCGAGCTGCCGGGACAGACGCACATCATCCTTCTGTTCAAACGGACTCATTCCTGTCTCAGACTCACCCGTGCCATCATCAGCAGCAGCAGCAGCATCATTGTGCTCGTGCATGTGATGATGTCATTCCAATGCAACGGTCTCGTAACAGCGGAATTTCGCGTAATCTCCGGCGTTAGTGTATAGTTCCAGACTATAGCACATCTGTTGTATGTGATTTCATAACTCTTTGTGAGCGTTTAAGAGGAACATATTGCCTTTTTTAAATTTCCACATACAAGATTTTTTTGGGGGCCAGATGGTTTACTTGCCCAACTTAGACATGCACATTTGTTGCACCTGATATCTGATGTGCAAACCTTTTATTTTATGTTACTATTTCACTTGATTTAGAGAAACCTGTGTAGTTTTTTTTATTGCCTTTTAAAATTTGTATTTACTTCCACATTCAAGACCCAGCTTTTAGCTAAACACATTTGTTGCATCTGAAATAGTTTCATTTTATAATTTGTTTTTAACATCTGATCTGGTTGCATCACTACCCATACATGAACTATATGACGGTGAACTGTTGGATCATGCGCCTGTGATTTTCTGCCCCACATTCATTATCATACAGCTGCTGCTGCGCTCTCATTCTGCTGCTCTTATCTCTGCTGCCTTCAGATCTCCACTTCATATACAACCCAATACTGGATAGCACATACACCGAGTATTCAAACCAGCAAAGTCAGTTATTTTTAATGAATTGTCACTCAGTACACACCAAATATTTGCATTTGACAAAACCAGAAGCTTTATTTATTTGCTCAAGTTCTTTGACCCCAACCCCCCACAATGTGCTTCTCCCCCCCACCAACATATGGTGCAGCAAATGTAAAGAAATAAAGAAACAAAAGATAAAGTACTGAATAAATGCTCCTAAATGTAAAATGGATATTGATTAGAGCAGTCCCGGCCGGGCGTACATAGTCAGATGGTATCTGTTGTACCTCAGATAATCCAGAACACTCTTTCTCAGAGCAGAATAAGCCTCGCTTTTCTGAAACACCTCGCTGAGACCCGTCAGCTGATCGGACTCTGCTTTATCATCCACTATCTTCTGAAGAGCCTCTTGAATTGACACTGAACCACTCTCACCCTGTCAGGACAAAACACAATACAAGTCAATACATTGAAATATGCAAATCTTGTGTTCCTTCTAAAAAAACAACAACACATTTTTGGGTGACAAGTGAGATGTTCTTTCATTTTATCTTATAATCACGCTTTATGCACCTTTAGAAGATCCTGTGTAGTTTTCTCCCCACATTTATTTCCACATTCAAGACCCAACTTTTTGCAAGATGGTTTGCCAGACGTGGACAAACACATTTGTTATTCTGTAGTTTGTTTTATTTTTAACATCCGATCTGGTTGCCCACCAGAGCAGTGCATTAAAATGATTGGTGCATGACATGTACATGTGCCACCATGTTACGTAATTGCATTACCGTGTTTATCTGACATCAACAGATGTTTTGGAAAGAGGGTAAATGCTTTAAACATAGATGACATAGATGTACAGGGACACCGACCTCTAGTTTGGCCGAGTCCATGATTTGGCGCACCTCCTGTTCAAAGTCAGCAAAGCGGTCGTGATAAAGAGCCAAGCACCAGTTCTCTTTAAAATAACTGGGGAAAGAGGAAATAAAAAAGTCACTTTTGGATTTAAAGACTAGTTTGAGGTCAGTATGTTTTTTGATTTGAAAGAAATTAATACTTTTATTCAACAAGGATGAATTAAATGGATGAATTAAATTTAAAGTGACAGTAAAGACATTTATAATGTTAATAATATTAAATGCTGTTCTATGAAACTTTTTATTCATCAAAGAATACTAATAAAAAATAAGAAAATTTATATATGAAGCAGCACAGCTGTTTTCAACATTCATAATAATCAGAAATGTTTCTTGAGTAGCAAATCATCATATTAGAATGATTTCTGAAGGATCATGTGACACTGAAGACTGGAGTAATGATGCTGAAAATTCAGATTTGATCACAGAAATAAATTATGTTTTAAAATATATTCAGATATCAAACAGTTATTTTAAATTGTAATAATATCTCACAATATTTCTGTTTTTACTGTATTTTTAAATGCTGTAAATGCAGCCCTGGTGATCAGGAGACTGTTCAGAAACATAAAAAAATCTTAAACTTGTGAATGATAGTGTTGTTTACTCAAAAATTACTCGAAATTCTATCATTATGTCTGACTTGCTAGACATGGTGTTTTAATTATGCTTTTATGGGTTTTTGTCTTTTTAAAGCTTGACAGACATGGGCACTGTATAAATGAGATGGTCTGGAAAAGAGCTGCATAAAGATAATTGTTCCTTTTGCATTCAATGGAAAACAGCAGACAGGTGTGGAACGACATGAGGCTGAGTAAACAATTACAGAACTTTAATTTTTGGGTGAACTGTCGCTTTAACTCTGGATGTTCACAATGTTCATCTAATATCCTCCAAATAGCAGCACGGTTGATAAATGATGTTCATGATCGTCTTTAAGATCGGCCGTTCTCCGTAATGACATTGAGCGCCGACCACATTCAGTAACGACAAAAGACCAGTGAAGAATCCCATTTTAATAAGTGTGATCAGCACTGATGGGTGGGGGGCTTAACTATTGTCTTCTGGTGGTGTGGTGAAGCGGATTGCACACCTGCATAAACGGATTACTAATGCAGGACAAAGGCTCTGGTGGTGAAGGGTCAGTGGTGGGAACGTTTTGGAGCAGAGGTCACACTGTTGGAAATGAATCTTCATATAAAGTGTGACCAGATGAGGACAGATATGATCACGGGTTGGAGTGTCATAAATAATCCTGTGCATTAATTCAAGAGAATTAGTTGCTAGATTTGCTGTTTCGGTAATGAAATGAACAATCAAAACTGGTTCTAGGGTGAATCTAACAACATGTGTAGGTCAAATATCACCACAAAAAAGGGGGGAAACTATACACACACACACACACATATATATGTATAAATGAATATAATGCGCACTGAGAATAATATAAATTAACTTATCAGTAAAACATCCAGACCTATTACAAATTTGTAATTCAACTTTATACAAAATATTGTCCCCTTTTGTTTTTAGGGTGAAATTTGACTTTCTTGTTAGATTCCTTGTTTTTCCACCATGAATAAGATGAGTGTCATGTTAAATTGAAATTTTTAAGGGTTTTAAGAATGTTGTATTGGAGAATTTTCATTGGAGAATTTTGCTTCATTTGTAGATTTGAAATTAGTCTTTGATTTGAAAGCTGTACCTTGTCATTTAGGATCAGCCCTGATTTAGAATGTAACAGAAAAGATTTATGTGACAAGGCTGGACCTGTACATGTCATGGACCAAACCCTCGTGGTAGCGTGAGCAGAGGTGATTCAGCAGCAGCTGGTGTTTCCTGTAGAGACACAGGAGGTTGGAGACAGGAAGTGCATTCTTCGAGAGGCACGTGATGCTCTCCACAACATCATGCTGGCTGAGATGCAGATGAAAGTAGTTCCCCGTTTCAGTGCTGCCCGTCACCAAGTCACGACCCTGCAGGACAGATAATAAAGATCGATGTTTTTGCAACACATGTTCACACTTGTCATGTTTGGTGCGATTGCTCTGTTAGTGCGGTTCATTTGAAGAAGTATAAACACTGCCATCTGAACCCTGATGTACCAAACAAACAGACCGAGACGGTTCTAAACAAACGAACCGAGACCGCTGTAAAGATAGTGCGGTTTGACTGAAATATTAACACAACAGACCAAAGACATGTAAACAAACCAAAATCGGGACACGATGTCACAAGATGCGAGCCTAAAAAGGGTCATGGTTCAGTCCATCACAGTTCGGTACAGGATCAGAACCGTGTCTCCTCGCAGCAGATCTTCATTTGTGTGTGTGACGGAGGGATTCCTGCTGCTGTTTTGACTCCTTTACACATTTTATAAGCTCTTCATTTTTCGTTTTTGGTCTGGACCAAAGAGAACCGAACTACAAGTGTGAACACACGATTGTTCTCTGATATGAAGACAGACTAATATTTGATTTTGACCTGCAGAATTTAAACGTACTTTCTGAGCTGATGGAGTTTCGTGGCCTTTGGATGTCGGTTTTGCGACATGGAGATAATTGTAGCCGCCTGGTAATCTTCCCCCTGTGAATTTAGAGTATTTTTTACAAGTTATTCCTAATAACTCTTGTTTTTACAAACACAAAATTAATAGCATTTCCCCCCAGAACACCACAAATATGATTATAAAGCAGTTTATCTCATATCAGACACTGTGTTTCTGTGTAACAGATGGTCCATTATGCTATAATCACTTAGCCTGTGATTAGATTATGCAAATTAACTGTCAATAGTGTGGTGTCGGTCAGAATTAGATGAAGGGGGGGGGACGGGGACTGGGTGACACAACACATGCTAAACGTCTTAAACTCCTGCTTGAATGTACTGGGCTTGTGATTCAGAAATTCAGAAGGAGAATAGTGACCTTGGATCTTGGCCTGAGTGTAGAGAGCGATGAGCTGCTCCTCATCAGACGGGGGGTCGGCGGGACGCTCCAGGGTCGGGTCACATGAGGGCAGGAGAACAGATGCCAAACTCTGCCCCACCTCCTTGGAATTAAAGCAGGAATCGCTCCATTGGTCAGCATGGTAACGGCGGGAGTATTTGGTCAAAGGGCCAGCGGCGTATATGGAGGGGTCGTTGGTATGGAAGGTGGTATCTACCACCAAACGGCCATCGAACACTAAACACGCATCATTGATTGCCTTGAAGGCGTCGCAGTCGACAGTTTTACAAGAGAAGCTGAAGAACACCTGTAAAAAATTGAATGCAAGTGACAAACATGCAGCATTTAAAGTGTTTTCCACATCATGATGGACTAAACATCCCACAACCATTAAACGATGGACGCATGTCAACGGCTCATATCACGAAGAGCGCAAATGTCCTTGATCTTTTAAAATACTTTGAAGGTCTATGAAATAATTCTGTTCAAATCAAAATGTCCATTTTTGGGTGAAAGAATATTTTAAAGGCACAGCAGGAAGATAAAGGAAACGTTTAATAAAAATCAATTTAGTCTTAAAACTAAAATATGTACATATTTTGGGGTCAAGATTTTTTTTTTTTTTACTTTTATTCAGCAAGGATGCATTCAGTTGATCAAACGTGACAGTAAAAACATTTATAATGTTACAGATTTCTATTTCAAATAAATGCTGTTTTTAATTAACTTTTTATTCATCCCGGTTTCCTCAGAAATATGAAGCAGCAACATCAATAATAATCAGAAATGTTTCTTGAGCAGCAAATCAGCATATTATAATTATTTCTGGAGGATCGTGTGACACTGAAGACTGGAGTAATGATGCTGAAAATTCAGCTTTGATCACAGGAATAAATTACATTTTACAATATATTCAAATAGAAAACAATCACTTGAAATTGTGATAATCTCACACTCACAATATTACTGTTTTTACTGTATTTTTGATCAAATAAATGCTTTTTGGTGAGCAGAAGAGACTTCTTTTAAAAACATTTAAAAAAATCTTAAAAAAGCACCTCGCAGCTAAATTAATCATAAAAATAAAATGTGTGATACGACTCCTTTATACATGTGAACTGATGTTTAAGAATGTTTTCTGTTCCTAACCGCACACTCCAGTCGTAGGGTCGGACCATCAGTGGTGAAGGACGCCGATGTCACAGGATCTGTGTGTTGTCCATCGTTGAGTTGCTTCAACAGGCAGTCATGATGACCTTGGACTTCCTCCTTTTCCAGAGCCTGTTTCACTGCGTGATCCACTGAGCCATCATGGAAACAGGAAGATGTGTCGTCTTTGGGAGGATGGACTACATGAATCCGGCGGCCGCTGACACCGAGGCGCATGAGCATCTCCACACAGGTGAACACATCTATGGTGTTTCCATATACCACAGCATCGCCTGCGGACAGACACACGCAATTCCGTTTGGTGGTGCATCATTTACACACTTCACAGTTAAGAAAGCGGCCTTGATTTTACAACATAATTGTAAAAAGACACTAGACTTCCTCCACATCCACACCAAAGATAATTCATCAGGTTACATTCCCTCCAACAGAAAGATGGTTTACTTAACAGTAAAATAAACTTAAGGCCATTTACCCTCCACAAGGGGGAAGGGGAAGCAATTTATTACGGCCGTTTGGAGAGATAATATCAGTGGCAATGAAACAGAGAAGGGTCACTTAGCAACCTGGAGAAGGTCCCATTAGGTTTGAGGATAGGAAAGAAAGAAGGAAGAGAAGATGAAGGAAGTGATGTCCTTTCACTGCTGCATCTAAACAGTGTCAGAAACCCTCTTAGTGCTGGATTGATTTAATTGAGATCTTTTGTGAAGGAAGGCCTTTGATGTTAATATTAGAGTCCTCAAGTATGAAAACTAATCAGTCGGAGCTCACATAACAAAACGACACAGAGCGCACGTGCATGATCCTGTATAATGACAGATGATTGGTTTGTAAAATCATTTTATACACGAGTATTAGTTTGGCTGTGTTTAAACTAAAGCATCATATTGCTGTTACCATTATCAGAATAAAACATTCATGTAAATAATACTGAATGTGCATCAAAACATCCAATCACATTTGAGAGCCAGAATTGTCTGTTTTTTAAATGTGGCTTTGTCTTCTATACATCTCTTACACATGCAAGTCCTGTAGCTTCTGTCTGCAATGCCATATATATTGATGTAATGGTGGTCATTTACATATCATCTGTGTGGTGAATGAAGGCAGCGCTCAATGCCCTGTCCATGGTGCTGAACCACAGCCACATCGCACAACACTCAACCTCTGAGCACAGGGATGTTTTCAACCACACCAGGATTTCTGCCAAACCTATTATCAGCTCATTTCTGTTGACAACTTATTCGGAGCCAGACCCAGCGATGCCTCTCTGGTTGACCCAAATACAAATTCTCATGCCACTAAATTGATATCTTTCATATGCAGACGGTATAATTAGCATTCACTGATAATTGCGCTGCTTCCCGGATTATTAAAGGAGGCTGTAATTAGTAAATATAATAGGCTTAATCAGACAGATAGCGGTGGCTCATCTCGGCCCGTGCAGATTAATTCTTAGCTCACCCTGCTAATATTAATATTCCCCTGTAAATGGATGGAAGGAGATTAGATTTCACTCACGCTAATTAGCTACTTGTTATGCTCTGACAGTTGGATGCAGCTTTAGAATAACAGTGGCTTGGTAAATGAGATTATGCATGAGAGAGGTCTGCCATGTCACACTGATCTAGACTCGGCTCTAGAGCAGCTAATAAAAATCTTTTTAAATTTGCAATAAATGCACCTGTCAGTTCCACGAAGTTGTCCATGAGCCACTGGTGGAGGTTTGAGCAGTCGTGCTGGTCGTTGAGGGTGAAGAGGTTAGATGGAACGGGCCAAGTGGATCTGTGCCTGGGATGATGTGGGTTCAAACTGCTGGTGGTCTGGTCAATGACGTCGATACTGGTGAGATTGGGCATCTGAAGTGTCATTCGAAAAAATAAAGAAAATTTAAAAATCTCATATATATATATACACATCTATACAGGGCTTGACATGAACTTTTTTTTTACTCACCATCCACTATGGCTAGTGGTTTTCTAAAGTTACTAGCCGGTCAGCATTTGCACTGGCAACATTTTTGACATCGATACCATGGGGAAAAACTGCCATATAGATATTTTTAATATAATATGGTATCAGGTATATTAGGCTGCTGTCACTTTTAGACCTGGTGCAGGGATCCATTATACTGTTACATATGCGTTTCTTTCTCAATCTCAACTGTTTATGTTCACTTAAAACAATGACTGTGTTTGCGTGAATACTCACCAAGATCGGCATTTTGACATTATTTTGTGTGTGTTTGACTGATGAAGCGCAATAAGCAGTGAAAAAGAACTCAATTTAGTACTGAGAGGCGGCTTTATGTTCACGCACTTTGGGTGTGAGCACAAAGTCTGCGGGAATGAGTAAAATTATGCGCAATACGCGCAATCCCACGCTGAAATTCAAGCCCTGTAACACCAACAATATTCATCTGAAGCAAATGAAACGAGTGAGTGAGGGTATGTGTGTCAACTCGCTGTCCGAGAGATATAAACATAAATAATAAATAAATATTTATTGTATTTAAATGATCTACCTTTATTTAAAGTATTAAAAATGTATTTCAATTAATTGAATGTAATTAATTGATTATATATTTCCAGCTTCTCTCTGCAAATGTATTGTCAGACTCAAATACAGCCGCATCCACACAAGCTGATATTCTCATGTACTAATTATTGTGCTCGGCATGAATAACAAATTAGCATTGCATTAATTTGCAAACACTGAGCTAAGCTGGCACATAATACATATTTCATAATTCATAGTAACATCTTGGTTCATTTGAATTGTTAATGTTGTGTCGTGCGTCTCTGACCTGATACTGCAGGCCGGTGCAGAGGATCAGATAGTCATAGTTCACTCTACCATTTGCCATCAGCTCCACGTGTTTGTCCTCGCGGTCGATGGCCTTCATCTTACCCGTCACCACACTGATCCAGGAGCGCAAAGACAGCTGGGCTTGATCCTGATCGCTGTAGCAGTGACTGTAGAGGAACAGATCCTGCATCCGTGAAAAGAGCAGTCTTCAAGAGCGGCCAGAAGGACATCAGGAAACCTTTCAGTGTAACCGCTTTAGATTCTCAATGCTCAAGGCTAACTGACTCATTCACTGTTTCACGCTATAATTGAGATGCTGAGAATCAAGGTTTCATGTCTAAGCTCTTCCTCCAGAGCTCTGATACAGTGTGTCTTATCAGTTGTTTGGATCGGTGGATTGGATTAGATGTGCCAGTCATGCAGAACCACTAACAGAAGTGATGATAAACAGCCGCTCGCTGAAGCTCAGTTCCTGCTTTTCATCACGAGCACCAGGAAGTGAAGCCGCACTAATGCTGCAGATCTCAAAACAGTCAAATTTCAGGTAAGGCCTCTTGGTCAGAATCTCCTGAGAGACCAAAGCAGTTTTAAAGTAATACCTCACCCAATTTTATCTTGATTTATTCGTTCCAGCCAAGTAGTATTTGTTCCTCTTTGAAAGAAAAACATAAGATGTTCTGCCAAAAATGATGATAATGTTTCTAGTACAAATATCTAAACATTCTTTAGTCAAGATACACTTAAAGCTACACTGTGTAACTTTTTTAGTTTATTCTTAGCTAAAAACACTTAGTTCTTTAAAAAATATATGTGCTCATTAATGTATATTTACTTCGTTCAAGTAATAAAGTATTCTCGTGAGTGTATATGCCATTGAAAATACATACGGGTAAGGGGTTTTAATGTCGGTCGCATAGACAGTAAAAGAAATGGACACAGCGACCCCATAGACTTCAACGGAGAAAAGTGAAGTCAAATAGAAGCACTCACTTCCTGATTGCCAAGCGCACTGCGCATGCTCAAACTGAGCTTGAAGACGTAGATGTGACGTGAGCAACCTGACTGACAGTTGTACGTCTTCTAGTAGCGGTGCCAAGAGGAATCTGAATCATTCCCTTCTGAATCTTGCAGAGCCGGAGATGGTGAGTATTAGCTGTTCATGAGCTCGTAGCAGGAGCAACTTTATGACTCTCTATGGGCTTCTCCCTCGACTTTATGCCTCCACGTCCCCCGATTGCGCGTGAGCTTCTACATCTGTGTTTACGGTCATTTCTCTTCTATGCGACAGAGAGTCGCGTGTTATGACGCAATCGTTAGCCTATTTTTACAAAAACTGCTTCTATGGGGCCATAACGTAAGATACAAGGTAATGGAGCATTTTATACATTGTCGTGTTTCTTTAGGAATAAATAATGGACAAATGGAGTCTTTAAACGCCTTAGATGTAAAGTTATTCGCTGTCAAAGTGACGCAAAAATGAATGGGAGTCAATGGAATGCTAACAGCAGGTGAAGGCTTGTTAGCCAATGGCGGCGCCCGGGGAGACTTCAGTTTCCGGCTGGTGGATTACCCCGTTGGTCGGTCGCCATGTTGCCCCTCCATCTTGAAAGTACATTAGCCAAAGAGGGACATACCCGTTAATTCAAGCTTCGCCTACCTCTCCCTCGCACCTCCGTCACATCAACTGATCTCTACTCACGGAGAAAATGATATAGCCTACAATGTAAACTTTGTCTTACGCTAGTGATGTCGTACAACATACAGAATAACGATAGCACTGATAAAAGTTACTTTACTAAGATTAACTTGCATTCGTCTGGGAACCTGATAACTGATGTTAGCAATGAAATGGTAAAAAAATAACGAAAACATAAAACTATTATTCATTTTAAATAGATGTCATAACCTATATGTTACCTGACAAATTAAATTACTGCAAATTATAATAGTTTTCTAAAATAACCTCATCACTTGAAGGAACACTCATGGACGAGGTCGAACTGGAAGCCATGTTAATCTTGGACTACATTGGCCACCGTAGGAGTTAAAACGAAATCGGAATTGAGAGGAACAGAAACTAATATTCACTGGATGGTCATATACCTTTTCACCGCTAGATGGGGGTAAAAATCACACAGTGTAGCTTTAAGTAGTCCCATCCACACTACAGCGTTTTAGTTTAGAAACGGATAATTAAAACGAATACGATCTCCGTCCACACCAGCGTTTTAGCTGCGTATTAGAATTGATCTCCGTCCACATTAAAACGACTGAAAACGCGGATCACGTGACAATTCACCAACACTGGGCATGCGCGTGCCGGTGTAAACAGAACTTCATTGATAAAATTATCCCACCATGCTCTGGGTTAACCATAGACAGTATAAGAAATGGACAGAGCCATCTCATTGGAACTCAGTTGAGACAGTTGAAGCCCATTTTTAGCGATTTCTGAGCACTTCCGTTCCTGACGCGCAGACTCAAACCGACTCAAACCGACTCAAACTAAGCTTGATGACGTGAGCAACCTGTCTGACAGACGTTAATCTTCTAGTAGCTGTGCGTGAAAATTGCCAACGTTAATCTTGCAGAGACGGGGAACTTGAGCAAAGAGTTCTTTGGCGTGAGTGAGCAGGAGTAAGTATTCCGTTGCTTTTATGGACTCATTATCTATGGGCTTCTCCCTTGACGGGACGTCCCCCCGATTGCCTGCGAGCTTCTCCTCCTGTCTGTACGGTAATTTCTGTACAGCGCGACAGAGAGTCGAGTGGTTATGACGCAATCGTTAGCCTATTTTTACTAAATCTGTTTCTACGGGGCCATAATGTAACATAGAAGGAAATGGAGCCCTTTATACATTGTCGTGTTTCTTTAGAAATAAATAATGGACAAATGGAGTCTTTAAACGCCTCAGATGTAAAGTTATTCGCTGTCAAAGTGACGCCAAAATGAATGGGAGTCAATGGAAATGCTAACGCAAGTGAAGTTCTGCTACAACATGGCGGCACCCGGCCGGCTTCAACTTCCGGTCGATGGATTACCCCCTTGGGGTTAACCCCAAACCGACGTTCCATGTACGGTCAACGCCGCCGCTGCACACGGGAATTGTCACAGATCGCTCGAATAATAGCTTGACTCCGGCGCATGTAGGCAGTTATAGCGTTGTAAAATGGAGAATTTACTTGTACAACAGCTGCTAGCAAAGATAAACGCCATGACTGATGACACCCAATCATAGAGCCGAGCGTGAGCCTCTACTACGTCATCGTTTCTAAAGTCCTCCGTTTTGACACGTCTACACTAAAACGCCCTCCAGAGATTCAAAACGAAAAACGGATCGGCAGTGTTTCTAAACTCCTCCGTTTTGGGTCTCCGTTTTTGCCGTTTTAGTGTGGACGGGAGGTGCAAACGTAGCAAAAGGTCTCCGTTTTTAAACGAAAACGCAGTAGTGTGGACGGGGCCTTAGTCTTAAAGGTGTCATGAACTGGCTTTTTAAATTGTGTTATATTGTCGTCTGAGGTCAACTTATGACGTTCGCTTGGTTTTTACATTCAAAAACATCAAACTGAATAAGTAATAGGCTATTTTCTACCCTAGTTTCGAGTCAAGCTCAAAAACGCTCGGTTTTTATGGGCGTCTCGCATTGAAGACTTGGAAGTAAACGCCCACTGCTGTGAGTGGATAACAGTTTTGCATATTATAATGAGTTTCGTGTAATGCGCGAATCGGTGGGCGGGGCTAAACCGTCCGTGTTGAAGTAGACGTTGATCTTCTTCTGCGGGGGTGGTGTTTTATCCTCTTTGTCGTCATAGTTCCCCACTTTGAAAAACGAGTCGTTTGCTGAGCCTGGTGTCAATAAAAGCTTTTATTGGACTAACAAGGATGTTTTCAGTTCTGAAACTTACAGGATATTCTTATAATATGATGACCTCTTAGATGTTAAAAGCTCAAGGAAAATTTGATTTCTCAGTTCATCACCCCTTTAAGTGTTGTTTTCTGAATTTTTTTTCCAAAATTAATTAAGTTTATACCTAAGGCATAAATTAAAAAATGTTTTACACTGTATAAAAGTGTCATGAAAGCAGTCCAAAACTATAAATCTGCAAATTGCAGTCATCATTTTCAAACTTTCTGCATTTTGATCAGTCAACAAATACATTTTTGCAATTTTCCACTGACTTGAAAAACACTGACTTCTTTTATGGTACTTTTTTTTTTTTTTTTTTTTTTTAGAGCTATGAAATTCTGCCATCTTAACTGGTCTCCTAAGAAATTATTAATAATGTTTATAATTAACTGACTTTCTGGATTGCAATATTACAATATAAGTCAATGTTTCAAGTTTGGACTTCAATGAGGGAGCAGAACAGCTTTAATGCTTTAGCACTTCACATCTGTATGATAGAATGGAAATAACGCATCTCTCGTGGAGTGGAAATAAGCCGCTTGGAGTCTAAATGCCTCTCGTTTGTAATGCATCGCTCACCTTGTAGCCAGAAATCTCCTGTTATCATCAGAGCAGCGATCTGGAAGACCGTGAGTGGAGATGAGAGTGAGATTGTTGAATCGAAGATGAGGACTGGTCAAATACAAGCAGGAGAGAGAAATGTGTTACTGTAGACAAGTGAGAATCAAACACCTTTTTATCAACTTTCTGCATTTTGACATTATATAAATGAGTAACACTGATGTTCATACTCTTAATGGATTTCAGGTATAGAAAACGTGTCGGGCTATATTTGATTTGTCCTCTTTTGAAGAACAGACCCTGTGTAGAACAGATCTTGTCCATTTTGGATAATGAGGCTATTTTTGTCCAATTTTTTTTTCTTTTTTTTTTTCTGTCCAGAAATGAATACCATTGAATGAAGAGAGGACAGTGACGACGTCTGAACAAAAGCATGCGGGGTGTGTGAGGTTATTCTGCAAACACTCGACGGACAGATGCTGAAATCCCTTAATTTCCAGCGCAGCGCTGGCCTGCATTAAAGCGCTTTCTTCTCCAACCATCACAGTAAAAGCCTTTCCTTTTGTTTTGTCTATTTTCCCCCTCTTGTTTTGTTTCCTGTGTGTAGAGGTCTCCCCCCGTCACCCTCCTCCCGACCCCTCAGGAGTGTAAAAAGGTCTCTTGTCATGTAAATGACCTGTTTTGTATGTGCAAGAAAGACATGATCTCTATCAGTGGCGGGAGAGGAAATCAGGCTAGCGTGTGTAGAAAGAGGAGTGTGTGAGGCCTGCGGACCGTCACGATTGATCAGACGGGAAAGGCTGGACACACAGCCGCAGCGCTCGAAGCCATGCAGACAGACAGAGCTGCTACTGCCATCTTCAGATATCTGTCTTTCATTTGAGCTGAGGGTTCACTTAACTCCTTCCTGCATGTTTGATTTTTTGCACAAACATTCATATGCAAATGTTTCAGAGAAATGGACATTTTATAACAGCACCTCGAGCAGTGTACAAAATAGGGTTTAAAAGTCAAAGTCAATTTATCTATTTTTAACAAAGGGATTCATTCTATTATGCATTTATATATATATATATATATATATATATATATAGTTTATATAGGGTTAAAATAAAATAGTTAATACAATTTGGGACATGTCTAAAAATAATAAAATAATAAAGAATAAATTGATTTGTGTTTTATTATTATTAAATTGTTTAATTAATGTTTATTGCTAAAATAAGATTAACATTTAAAAATATGTATCTAAATATGTATAACGTTTAAAATATTTTAAAAAAATTTGAGGCATGCCTAAATACACTGAATACATTGTGATTTTTATTTAAGCCATAAACAATTAATTAAATTAATGCTTCATTAATGTTTATTGCTACAATAACATTAAAATAAAGTTTAAGACAATGTATACATTAAAATATTTAATTTGGGACATGTCTAAATACACTTAATAATATATAAAAATACAATACATTGATATTAAATTAATGCATATTGCTAAAATAACCTTAAAGTAATGTTAATTATTTTTTTTAAATAATTTAATGTTAATAATTTAATTTAAAATAAAAATTTAAAACATTTATACAAATATATGAAAATATTACTAATACAAATAAAATGAAAATAGGGCTGCACATTTAGCCTAAATGATATATTCAGTAGAAGTTAGCTAGTCTGGGACAATATGTTGTAGTTATTGATAAACATAATTTAAAGAAACATTTGTTTGATCATACAATTTTTCACACAATAAGTCTTTTTTGTTTGTTTTTAGCTTGAAAAATGCAGTACACACTACTGTTTGTGAAAAATGGAGAAAATTTGATTGTTTACTATAACTTTTTGACTATTAATATTAATATTCTTTCAGTAATAAATACTAAAATTATTTGAAGAACAGAATTTGTCCATCTTTTATATTAGAAAAGAGAAATCCAGAATGTGTGTCAATGTGAAATGTTAATCTTGTGTGTGTGTTTTCTCTCCACAGGCTGTTCTTGACCACCAGCTCACAGCGTTCTGGCCTTATCAGCAGCTGACAGGCCTCTATTGTGGCCAGTGTCTGACTGCTAAGTTTAGGGGCCAAGCAGGGGCCAAGCATCTTTATCGGTCCTCAATGGTCCCGCGTTTCACCCCATCCTCAGGGGTGATAAAGGACAAGTGAGCGAGCGTGAGGGGGGCCAATGGTTTTGGCTTGACAGATAAGCGCTGTCGGCCATGGCCTCCACATTCTCCATTAGTCAGGCGGCCTCTACAGGGGCTGACCGGCCATAAGTTTAGTGGACACTAACTGCCTCATTAGTCAAGTCATTAGCGACAGCAAACACCAATTGCAGCCTAGAGAACAGTGGCAGGGCTAATTAAAGGGCCAGCGCGTGACCTCCGCACACTGCCAGCTCTAGACAGCTGCGTGCCCGCAGTGCCTGCCAAAGCAGCAGGAGTTAACACACACACACACACACACACAACCGCAGAGCGACCCCTGGTTGCCAGGCAGTTATCAGCTTTCAGGAAACAAGAACAGCCTTAAATCACAGCTTTGTTTGGTCATGCGCTCTGCGAGAAGCTGCATCCAAACTCCTGACATCTCCTGATATCCTCTTGATAAAATGACATTCTGAAAAGTTAAAATCTTCAGAGACTAAACGTGTGTGTCTTGTGTACGCTAATGTTTAAAAGTTTAGAGGCCAGTACGATTTTTTCAAAAATAAATGAATACTTTTATTCTGCAAGGATGCATTAAATTGATCAAAAGTGACAGTAAAGACATTTATAATGATACAAAATATTTACATTTTTAAATAAATTAACTACTTTTGAACTTTCTATTTCTTGAGCAGCAAATCATCATATTAGAATGATTTCTGAAGGATCATGTGACACTGAAGACTGGAGTAATGATGCTGAAAATACAGCTTTGATCACAGGAATAAGTTACATATTACAATATATTCAAATAGAAAACAGTTCTTAAATTGTAATATTATTTCACAATGTTACTGTTTTTACTGTATTTAAATCACATAAATGCAGCCTTGGAAAGCAGAAGAGACATCTTTCAATAGAACATTTACAAATCTTAACAACCCCAAACTTTTGAATAGAAGTGTAGGCTACATCACATTTTCAAGAAAGACTTATTGGCACATTTGTTTCTAAATGAACTAAAGATGTGGTAATTTACGTTTTTTCTAAAGTGACATTTAAATAACTGGTCAAATATCTGCTTTCTCTCAATCTAGAATAACTTTTTTTTTTCTTTTTTTTTTTTACCAGAATGTGGACCTGATATTTGAGTCGAATTCTTTTCCGTCTTTCCCCTTGCAACCAACACTTGGTTGGGAATCATTGCTTAAAAATCTTTTAATAAAGATAATCAATATTTCATTTGAAGAAACTATAAAGGGCTGTTTTTCAAATTCAAAGAATTGTCTTTCTTTAGAACACAAAGAGATCTCTGTCCAGAGGCAGAAGGATCCAGAATACAGGTAATAATTGGCGTGTGTTGGGCTGAGTGTTATTATATAAAGCTATAAGCTCAGATTTCATGCAATCATTGTTTCGCTCAAATCCCTGAGGGCCACTCTCACTAATTATAACCACACTTGAGACGATGTTCCCCCACCCCCCAGGGAAAAAAAAACAACCGGTTTCTTCAAAAAGAAATCATAAATGCTATTTAGGGCTTCTTTACCTGTGTCGACCATTTGATTGAAGTAGCGTTTCAAGAACGGCATGCTTACCTGAATGTCAGTGCTTCAAGAAAAGCTAAACCTGTGTCGGATGCTCCCACTACCACGATTCTGGCATTGATGGTGACCTTCGGCTCCATGGTGAGTTTTCTGTTCGTGTGGTACAGGGCAAAATGAGCCTGCTAGGAACAAATGAGAAAACAATATCTTTAGTGTCATCTAACCTGTATAAATGCTCACCGGTGGCTAATTAGAATGGGCTTTTCAGTGGCTAATGCTGATATTGACACCTAGAGAGTGGGGCGGTCAATAACTAATATATATATATAAAGGGCAATTCAATTTAATTACAGCAAATGGGATGTTAATTAATAATTTAATTGGAATTATTAAATTGAACAAAAGGTATTTTCTTGTAGTCAGTCAAATGCTCTTATTCATTCTTCACAAAGCCAATTGGATGCATAACAAGGGTGCATTAAATTTATCAAACGTGACAGTAAAGTTTGAAAATATTTCAAATAGATGCTGTTCTTTTGAATCCTGAAAAATATAGGTATCCCACTTTCCACAAAAAATATGAAGCAGCACAACTGTTTTCAACATGGATAATAATCAGAAAGGTTTCTTGAGCAGAAAATCATATATTAGAATGATTTCTGAAGGATCATGTGACCCTGAAGACTGGAGTAATGATATATTGTAATATTTTTTCACATTCACGATATTGCTGCTTTTACTGTATTTTTAATCACATAAATGCAGCCTTGGTGAGCAGAAGAGACTAAAAATGAAACCTACACATTTGTTTTCCTAACACGCATAAGGATATGTAGCTAAAACAGCGGTTTATCATATTTGTGGTCATTTGAACTACCGGCTCAGCCGGGCCTTCTTTTGTTGAACCCTGGATAATCTCATAAGCCTTTGCTTGTCAATGCAGCGAAATGGTCGTGTGTTGCATTTCAGGTGTATGTTTGTCCTTTAACCAGTGAGTTAACAGCTAACAGCTAATCTTACTTAGCAGCTAACAGTAATTGCAGTGTTCCTAAAAGCACTGCTGATGTCCTACACACAGACTAGTCCATTTGGAAGGTTCTCCCTGCATGACAATAGTTTAATCAGCGCGAGAGCGACAGTGTGTTTCACTGAGCACTTATTAAGCTAAAAAGATACCAGCAAACAGGAAAAAGCATTGCATTAGCGAACACTATAACTCGTCTAAAATATTGAAATGTGCCGAGTTCCATTGAAAGAATGGAAACCCATTCTATAAAAAACAGTGCAGACCACTTCAATAGGCTCTGCACCTAATATGAAGCATTGAAATGGTCAATTCTTCGAGGAGATTTACAGAGAGGGACATGTTTGGCCGTCTCTGAATCAATTGAAAGCGAACAGCTGCCGTGTTCTCCTAATCATTCTCTCTCTACTTCTCTAATTGGCCCTTGAGCATGAATAATTTGAGGGATTTGTTCTGTGGTACACCTTATCTGATTTAACATGAAAGAATAGAGACGCGGTGGACTCTGGGAAGGGAGAGGCCCAAATTGTCATTGTAATTTAAGGAAACGTAGCTGATTACACGGCCATCAATGATTGGCTCTTCAAAGTCATTCATTAATTGCTGTAATCAATGGCAGGGACTCAAGGAGGTTTCAATTCTGGACATGTTGGGTCACTCGAAGACAAAAATCAGAAAACGCACAACAGGAATCATGTGCACGAAAATCACACAGATGTCATTTTTTTGGTGCCCTCTGAGAAGTTTTGAAAGTCATAAAGAATTTTACTACATTTTTTTTTTTAGAGATTTTGCTCCATATTGTCATGATCGCATCACACAGTTACAAATGTCCTGTTCCAGCACATCCCAAAGGTGCTCTATTCTATTGGATTGAGATCTGGTGACTGTGGAAGTCGTAAACAACATGAAAGCATGGATCATCCTGTCTTGTATCAGCAGTTCTGCTGGTGCTGTAATGCTGTAATGGGTGTTTCTTGACACAATTTGGGGCCCATTGTATCAATTGAGCATTGTTTAAACACCACAGTCGACCTGAGTATTGTTACTGACCATGTCCATCCTTTATGACCACAGAAGACCATCTACTGATGAGATTTGCAACTTTGTGTTGCTATCAATATGGAGCAAAATCTCTGAGGAATGTTTCCAGGACCTTGTTGAATCAATGACATGAAGAATTAAGGCAGTTCTGAAGGCAAAAGAGGGTCCAACCGGGTACTAGCAAGGTGTACCTAATAAAGTGGCCGGTGAGTGTGTGTGTGTATATATATATATATATATATATATATATATATATATATATATATATATATATATACTGTACTCTACTTTTAAAAATTTGGAGTTGTTCAGATTTTGTAATGTTTTTGAAAGAAGTCTCTTCTGCTCACCAAGGCATGCATTTATTTGATCAAAAAATACAGAAAAAACAGTTTTATTGTGAAATATTATTACAATTTAAACTTTTTTCTGTGTAATTGTATCTGTAGTGTAATTTATTTCTGTGATCAAAGCTGAATTTTCAGCATCATTACTCCAGTCTTCAGTGTCACATGATCCTTCAGAAATCATTCTAATATGCTGTTTTGATGCTTATTTTTTTTTTTTTTGTGGAAACGTGAAATCTCTGTCACTTTTGATTAATTAAATGTATTTTTGTTGAATTAAAGTATTAATTTTTTTTTTAAAAAGCTCTCACTAACCTAAACTTTTGAATACATATATTGATTTTGCTATCTATTTTTGTTCTATCTATTTTGGTCTTTTCTTTTTTATAATAAAAAAAAAAGAGATTAAAGACTAACATTTGAAAATCACCCACTGATATCAATAGAATGCTCAGCATTCAAAATTTCAATGACGATATTTGATGATTCATCATATTCAAACAAGTAAAATATGATATCATTGTAATAGTTTACATACTGAATTGTGATTGGTCTTTCTCTCTTGTACATCTTTAACCCATATACAGCAGCTGTAAAGATGGCACAGAAGATGTGTGGCAATCAATGGCAGACTGTGAAAGTGTTTGAAAACGGTCCGTATTTTTGTGATTCTGTTCATTTCTTCAAAACTACAAAAATGTTCTTAGATGGTGTTCATCTGCTCCTGATAATGATATGACAGTAACAGGATGTCAAACAGGAGCTGACCCTGTCCTCTCTGCTCAGGTAAAGCCAGCACAGGTGCGTCCGTATCAAACACTGGTGGATATGCAGGACTTCTACATGCAGACATAATGCCCTTCGTAACACAACACTCTATTGACGAAGACCGAACAGGTGCTTTAACTCTGATTAATTCATCTGAACCAGACGGAGGATTAACGCAGTCATTGCGCTCTTATCTGCAGGGCTGCCTGGACACCGGCGTTGCTGCGCTACCAAATGGAGCTTTCTAAAGTGGACTGAAGGGTGACAGCTTGTGTTTCTTTCTTGCTAATGCACTACACACACACACACACACTGCATATGACACAGCAGCTCAGTTCCAAAATCTTGTTGTCTACTCCATTTTGCTTCAGAACCCAGACTTTACATTGGCCTTGAGGTGGTGGCTGAATTGTTTGTAAAGCAAAAGTACACAAAAATAAACATACAACCTTATAAACATAAAACATCATAACACAATATCGTTATTAAATGTAAATCATTTTCGTATTTGTAATGTTTTTGAAAGAAGTCTCTTGCTCAATAAGGCTGCATATATTTGATTAAAAAAATATAAACAGTAGGCCTAATAACAATTTAAAATAACTGTTTTATATTTGAATATATTTTAAAATGTAATTTATTTGTGATGGCAAAGCTGATATTTCAGGAGCCAGAAATAAATTGAATTTTTAATAATAAATTGCTTTTATAATAAACATTTCATTAATGTTTACCATCTTGGATTGACTTCATAGCAGTGCATGCCGCGATTGGCTTTGTGAAGAATGAATAAGATGCGACTTTAGCATTTGACTGACTACAAGAAAATACCTTTTGTTCAGTTAATAATTGTTGTGACCTCTCAATAAGTAATAAGTGGGTCGTTCCTCTTTTACCTGTGAAAGCTGTCCCCTCCCTCCATCAGAGAAGCCTATCTCATGCTGAGAGGGGATGCATGTGTATATGTGTGATCTGGGTCAGCAGAGAAAAAGTCTTTCTCCTTGTGTTACATAAATAAACACAACGCATGGAACACAGTTCCTCTTGTCCGCCCTGTGATTTGAGTGCCGTCAGATGAAAAGCGTTACATAAACAAGTTGCACCTATGATTCCTTAAAATGGTGTCTACTTGGGGTTTGCAACCCACCAACAAGCTTTTTTTAGACTTGTGTTTGCGTTTCGCCAGTGGGATAGACAGCACCTCAAATTCTATTCATGCTCAACTGAGGTGTTTTATTGAAGAAAACTATGAAATAATGTGGGCTGAGTGTGCTTTTATAACACCTCATGATTAATTTAGCTCATTTAGATTGTATTGATGAAGAAACATTGTGTGAAGTGAAATCCCCCCTCTGGCGTGGGGTGTGTGGAATCTCACTCAGGAGTACACACACACACACACACACACACACACACACACACTCACAAGCACGTCTACAGCAGATGTTGGTTGTTCTGATGATGGCTGGATAAGAACGCTGCTGCTTTACCTGTTAGAAACCAGCGTAAACATTCACCGCCATCTGCCACCATCCATCCATCTGTTTCTTTACAACTAGATGTTCAATAACCTCAGGCAACAACGGCCCTGTGGTCTGCTTCACATGCGGCTAACGATTCTGATACACAAAACGCATAATGAGTGGAATAATGCAGACAGCTACAACGTTAATTATTGATAAACGTAAGTGTGAGAAACAAAGATGTCATGCTGTCCCTTGACAGTTTAGGGATGGAGAGTTAAAAGTGTGTCAAATTACAAGTGAGATCATGGCACATTCATTTACTGCACAGCACCCTCTTGTGGCACATCATTTCCTACTCAATGTGCATTGTTATTATTATTTGAAATATTGAGGGTTAGTGATTTAAACAAACCCCTAGCCCTAAGTAGTACAGTTCAGCATGTAACTATAGTCCAAAACTGGGGGCAATTGCATAAACACAGCCACTATGTTAAGACTGTGTCTTAAAGAGGGCCTATTATGCTTTTTTCCGTCTATCTTTCTTTTGTGTGTAATGTTGATGTTTGAGAATGAAAAAGTTCCAAAGCACAAAGTCAGCGGGAGTTATTCTCTATATCAGTGTCACTGTTTCTGAAAACCCTGAAACGCCTCCATTGTAGTCTTCAGCTTTTTCCCGGGAACCAACAAGTCACAATATTCCTCATTTAAATAATTCATGCAGAATAAAGGGGCGGGGCCTGGTGACATTACCAAATGCGCTTGAAGCGCTTGACCAATCACAACACAGTGGTCCAACCGACCAATCAGAGCACAGTGTGCTTTTCAGAAGGAGGGGCATAGAGACAGAAACTAAACAGAGCGTTACTGACAGACTGGGAAGAGAGGAGCTGCAACAATGGAGAATATGGGACAAATAATGTGTTTTTTGAACATTCAAGCATGAAAACCTAGTAGACCCCAAAAACAAAATCAAGACGTTGTAAAGGGGCATAATAGGACCTTTTTAAGAACTAATCTGACCAGTCAGTCTTACTTTTGACCAGTCAGTCTTACTTTTCGGATACAAAATTAGACGAATCTATGTTTTATGTAACTGACTTAAAAAAGTTATGACCAGTCTTAAAGACAAAAATTTGATGACCAACATGTCTATTAAATCTGCCACTGTTTGTGCTACATATATAGATACAAATACAACAGCCAAGCATTATGGTGGTGAGTTGCATGGAATAGTTTGAACTAGATGCTACCATTGTTTACATTGTTTCAGTATTTAATTGTCAAATTGCTTTAAATGCACAATTATGTTCATATTTCAGGAATCTGGTTTCGGTCTGACCTGTTGTTTGGTGATCTGCTGGGACGGCGCGTTGATACCCAGCTCTTCCAGCGGGTAGATTATCTGTCGTCTCGGGCTCACCGGCACCATGTAATTCAGCACTGTTGTCAGAGAGTGATAACTGACATTCTGAGTGCAAAGAAGGACAAATTAAGAATGTTTATGAGCAGATAACGTGGTATGAAAATGTTGCTGGTTTAAACTTTGAACCAAAAATAAAGACTTTTGATTGCAAACTTCTCAAACTCTAGAGCAAGGGTCCCAAATGTTTTTTTTTTGTCAGACGAACCCCTTAGACATGAAATATTTACTTGAAGTAAACTCTGAGATTTTAAGTTATTATTTCAGTAATAAAATAAGGCTTGTGGTTCTCTGATTTTGGTTAATGGTCACATGACATGCAAGTAAACAGATAAAATATTTAAGCTTTTTTCAATAAGTGTTTTATTTTATTTTATTTTAAAATAATTTATATATAGCACTGTTTTTATATAAGGTTTATTATTATTATTAGACATCAATTTATTATTGTTGCAAATTACAATTGTCCAGAGCAAAAGCAAAAAAAATCTATATTTGATAATAATTATAAAAACAATTTTATATGACACTACAAGTTACAACATTAATATACTATAACATTCAAACCCTCAAGGTTTATTTAGTTGCTTTTCATCAACACGCAAACTCCCATTTGGGAAACTTCTGCTCTAGAGGACACGCATGTGAGATTACTGTGGTATTTTTTTTACAGGAGAGAAATCTTTTGCCCACCTTATAGCTGTAATGGGGTGGATGGAGGAGGTAATAGAGGCAGGACTTGTGTGCCAAGCGCAGCACCTCCTTTAAGATATATTTAGTGTGTTGCTGGAAAACAAGGTTGAGGAGAAAGTGACACAGTCGACCGTGTTCCTCTCGCTGCTGATGGCTAAAGTACATGAACCTCTCGACGTCAAAGTTGGCTCGGATGAACTCAATGTCCTGAGAGAACGAAACACGTGGCAAACGATTGATGGTAAGAAACAGCAAACACCAAAACACGTCATTAAATATTTACCTCCTCATCTCTGATGATTATCAGACCAATAACTCGCCCCTCGACCTGCGCCACAAATGCCTGGAGAGCAGTTCCATCCTGAGAATGAGAGACAATGCTCAGACATCACAAACACAGCTCTGTCGACGGACTGAGGCAGTCTAGTGTGTGGTTGGTGGCAGACCTGGTCTTTTCGGGCCTGCAGGAACAGATCCAGATCTTCACTGATGGACTCCCGCTGGCTGAGACTCTCAGTCAAACTCTGGATTGCTGGGATATCTGATGACACTGCCACACGCACCTCCAACTTCCTGATGGACAGAAAAATATTACTCTGACACATGAATCCAAACAGCATGCCTGTCAGTATTTTGTAGAATACTTATTTTAGTAGCAATTTACAATAAGGTTCCATTTACATTAGTTAACATGAACTAACAATGAAAAAGTATTCTGAAGCATTCATTCATCTTACAGTATGTTAATTTTAACATTTACTAATACATTAACAAAATCAAAAGTTGTATCTGTAAATATTATCTAATGTACCCGTGTAAACATGAACTAACATAAACAGTTGTATTTTTATTAACTAACATTAAAAGATTAATAAAGATTAAATATATATATATATATATATATATATATATATATATTGCTCATTAACTAATCGGATTTTATTGTAAAATCATACCTTTATTTAGCATTATTTCTTTAAAATTAATGAATTAATTTCTTAATGAATGTAGAAATGTTGCCACGTGATTAAAAAACGACTGGCAAATATGTTAGAACACACAGAATAATTGATTTATCTTCAGTAGATTTATCTTCAGTAGATTCAAGCTTTTGAATCTGGTTTTATTCACCAACAAGGTCACAGTGTTGTTCTTTAAGTACATTATGGTGTAAGACTGGGAAACTGGTTGAAGCTGGAAATGAACATTTGGCCTTGTAAGAACTGGTTGGAGACACTGTCTTGACCACATGGTCTATTGAAACAAAGGAACTTGCTGAAATAGCATTCGACCTCCCCCTCACGCAGTCTCACCTGATTTACATTTCACCCAGTAACAGCTGAAACTCACATGAGAATATATATATGGTTTGATGTGAATGATTATCATTGAGCATTATGTTTGGTATCATTTGAAATGTCTCAGGAATGAGTGGTACAAATGTCTCATTCCCAAAGTATAAAACAAAAGGTAATAAGGTTTTTTAAGAGTTTAGGGATATCCGGCACACCAATGAATGTGGTCTCCTACTCCCAAGGTGTGAACTCAATGCTAATTTCCACTGTTAGCAAATGTTACCATGTAAATTTACTTCTGCCCCCAGTAAGTCTGGGGGGATGAACACAGTACATTTCCACTGTGAATACAGGTTTACATATGAAATGAGGTCTGGCTATTTAATGGAAGGCAGCAAGGGATCGTGGCTCTTTCTGTATCTCAGATAGCCCGTGAATGCTGAGTCGCCGAGACTCAGCATTCATGTATTTCATGTCGGGTAAAAGATTTTCCTCTTTGTTCTAGAACATTTGATGATTTGCATTGATTATCTTTCAATTGATTATGGAATTATTATAATACATTTACCTGACATAATAAATTGTTATATTTGATTATTCTAACAGACTTTGACTTTATTTTCATTGGAGTTAAAACGAATAGTCAAACATTAACGTCTACTTAATGATGCACAGATATCATTAAAACACTTTCATTCTATGGAGTCAGATGAAACGAGTTAATACATTTAAGACAAAAAGTATTGCATTTAATTATAAATCCCTCTGCCATTGGAAGAGACGGAACGCGCGTTGAGACCTTCACCGCTAATTTGAATGCCGGCATTGGATCAAATTAGCAGGCCTTACAAATTGGCGACCCCCGAGACGTGATCGCAACAGATGAATTCGCGAGCAACGTCTTTTCCAGCAAAGTATGGGGATTTTAAAATCAGCATGAGGTTTGAACATCTTCACTTTCTTCTGCCGCTGTGGTAAGTCATTTTCTTCTTCCTCTTGTGAAGTGTTGAGAAAAATGTTGTTTGCATTGTTATGGGTAGCTATAGGAAAGCCCTTTGTTTAGTCCAGAACTGAAATACGTGAGGACGTGATAAGCGGCAGCGCAGATGAAGAATGAAAACCCTTGTTAATAGATTAAAGATATCCTCGTTTGCCTAAGCAACAAAAAACGAAACCTAAAATCGGAATAACATCTTCCAAATGTTTTTCGTGTAACGTTACTTGATGAGGAGCTGTAAAACAGCCTAAAAGTTTTCAAATCAGCCGCATGTTTGTCGCCATTGTGGTATTGGCTTTGTTGAAACGAACTAGCAACACATGAAGAGAATCGGCAAACAACAGAAAGGAAAATCTAAGTTTGTAAACGGAGAAATCGGAGAACACGTGATTTTATAAATAAAAAGGCAGATCGATGCATTGTTTATAAAAAGCTAAATTTGGAAAAACAGGATGATATTATTTACAGGCTAAAATCGGATCTCAAGGCTAAGCTAAATGTTATTGTCCATGCTGCTTCCAAAACGAAGCTAAGCTAAATGCTAGTATTGCCCATGCTACTTAAAAAACGAAGCTAATGCTAAATGCTAAAGCCATGCTGCCTCCAAAACGAGGCTAGGCTAAATGCTAGTATTGCCCATGCTACTTAAAAACTAAGCTAAATGCTAAAGCCATGCTGCATTAAAAAAAACGCTTAACTCTTTGTGTGACCAGCCCACCGGTGGGCACAAAAGCCACATTGAATAATATTCTATACTAAACCTAAACTAATCTTGACAAACTCTATATTGCATTTGAAAGCTTCCACTTTAACACAGATGGGATTAAAAGGCAATAATGCAATAATTTGTATTTTCAAATTTGGAGTTGTGTTTTAAACATTGTAATGCACTCATAGAACACACTTTATAGTTGTTTTGTGCAACTATATGTGCACATAGGCTAATTGTGTAAGTTTATTCTTTAAACACAGGATTGCTTTACTGTTTGTGTATTTGGAACACTTAGGTAAAGGCTGTTGATGTTGTATTCTAGGCTATGTATCCTGTGTGAACTGAATTAAACGCGTGTGTCTCTATGCGGAATGTGGTTATAATGTGATTCACAATGAATTTGAGAGTCAGAAACCACGAACGCGCATCTCATTAATCCTGAAACAAAAAACCTTTTCATATTCAAAGCTTTAGAGAACGTAGACTTTACCTCTCCACTCTATGGGAGCTGTTTCGCATACCAAATTTGTAAATGGTTACGTTTGAATTAATTCTGAATGACTCTGAAAGACTGTTTTTTCCATAGATTATTGGATTCGTATATTTCCACATCTTTCGCGTCAGATTAGCGACGGCTAATATCCGATACCATTTTAAGTGTACTTGAATGAGGAGACGGGTAGTTTCCGTCTAGAATCAGCTAATGCTGTTTGATCTAGATTTGGGTACGTCTAAATACCTCTGTTCTAATTTAATGTTACTTTAGATAAGTGCACGCTACTAAAGTAAATTATTGAATTAAGTTCCTGAGGTGGCATTCAAGGGGGCTATGAATATGTCTTCGATTGTGTACGTGTGAATTACGGCAGATCCCAGATATTTAGCCAAAAATTACCTCTGAATTGGTTATTGGAACTGTCGGGAGTGTGCCGTGCGGCCTTGGGAGAAGGAACGCTGAGCGATATAGATTCCCTGATCTAATCGGATAAAACTAAATTAAGAGTTCAAAAGAATAATCAAACGTTAAAATGGACATTTAAAAAGACTAAATGAGAAGAAAAGGTATTTGAAACCTAGCAAACAGAAAGGAGAAACAGCGAATGTACAGCTTATGAGCCTTGAGCCAGAAAGCCTTTTCATATTCAAATGTAAACACATGTGAACGAGCAGAGACTCTTCAGAAGACCAGAAATAATATAATTTAATTTATATTCTTAAATATAATGTAATTGTATTATAACTCAAATTATAATATACATTATGTTGTAATCGCCAAGCAGGCATTAATTGGAGAAGTGTGACATTAATCCTTACAGTTCGATTTCGTTGACCTGCTATCCAGTGCCAAAAGGGCGGAGGTGTGTTTTAATTTTTTGCCTTTAAAAAACACTCCCAGAAGTGTGGCACAGGTAATAGCCAACTGATCAAGGAAGCAAATTTAGAAGGAGGGTATGAACTAAACATCAGACAGACCACAGCCTTGTAAAGGTAACTAGAGACCTGCACTAACCAAGCAACTTGAGGTAAAGCCAGAGAATGTTCCCAGCAGAACTGGGACCTTAATGCTGTGACACAGCAGACTGTGAAGGCTCGACTACAAGAGCAGCTTTAAGGTGTCGCACACTGCACTGAAACAACAGCAATAATTCAGACCTGGTCAATGAAACTCGGTTTCATGTGACAGCTGGAATTAAAATTGCAATGGACATGATAATGGAGCAAGCAAAAAAATCCCACATGTCTGAATTTGAAACTGTTGAAAACATCAGAATTAACTGTGGTTCTCTCTGCACTTGTTTCTGTCAGGTTACTTCTGCAATTCCTCAGGGGACGGATGCCAGGACGGCCGGACCTCACGATTTTTAGAACATAACCTGAGATTCGGGAGATGGGTGAAAAGACACTTCAAAGGCCATTTACATCTCACAATAGCACATCACTACATTAGCATGGCCTCCCAGTTTAGAACTGGAACTAAAATTTGCAACACAATTGCTATCCAGTCGATTCCACCCATCTCCTAGACATGAACACTGAACACACTCCTCCATCACTACACCCTCACAGCATCATCACCTGGAATAGATCAAGTCTATTCAGACTGAACACTACACATCATGAGAAGATAAAGATGACAGAGTCCAAAAGTGTCACTTCACTAAAGATCTATTGTCCATCTTCACACTAACAGATCCAGATAGCTTCACACACATAGGATGGGAATGAATGGCTACAGTCACAAATCAATGATGCAAAAACAAAATTAAAGCAGAGGCAGACCTGCTATTAAATTTAAGAATGTTTAAACTTTCTGATTGTTATTAGGGTGGTTGGAAGGTCAGAGGGCCCCTGATTTCTCAACAACCACTAATAACAGAAACATCATAACAAATAGATCTGAAGTGTGAGCTCTTCAAACAATTACAGAATTTACAATTCAACCCTGTCATTGACTGTGACTTAGCCAACAACACACACACACACACACACACACACACACACACACACACACACACACACACACACACACACACACACACACACACACACACACACACACACACACACACACACACACACACACACACACACACACACACACACACACACACTCTCTCTCTCTCTTTCTCTCACACAAACTATCACACTCACACACAGATGCACACACACACACACACACCCTCACACAAACACACAATCTCACACCTGTTACAAGGGATGAACAATCTCCATTCATGTTCCAAGTCACTTCTTAGATTTGCATAAGTGGCTTGCATTGGAAGATTCCTGAACAAACACTGATTCTTCATATTTTTTTCAATTTTGAATATTATTATTGTGATTACATGACTTCTTGATGCAAAGAATTTATTTGATTGTTTTGATTACACTGACCTCTTGCTGCATTTCCTTTGTATAATTCAGACCAAAAATATATATATATTTAAGAATTGGATATTTAAAGGCACACCGCGGAACTTTTGGCCACTAGTGGCGCTCGACCTGTAACTTTCACGTCTAGCGTCCCTAGAGGCCACAAGCTCCGCAGCACTGTCGCAAAAGTCAACCGGTCAGCCCATAGACAGTGGGTCAGCCTCCCGTGTCTTTAGATTGTGTGTGCTTGCAGTGTTTGAGGTGGGCAGCCTTGCCGCGCTCGATTCCCTTATAGCAGTCTGCTGAGAGAGAGCGAGCGGGGCGAGCCCCGTGGGGCTTAGTGCTGACATGTCTGTGAGTGAATGTGGGCGCGGGACGGCGGGCACATTTACTGCACTAAAAACACCGTCGGCCTGAGCTGACTGTAACTTATGTGTGTTGGGTTCGTTTTACAGAAACCGTGGGACATGTTGTGTGTAGTGTTTGTGGGCACTGAGTCGTGGGCACGTTCACTAACGTTACATTTAATGTACATTTGACATGAGTCGACTTTATGTGTGCGAGCCCTGCACTGTGGCGGGCTGTGTTTGTGTGTAGAAATGAACAATGGGCTGTGGGCATTTTATTACACTCATAACACCATCGGCTGTGGCCGGAATACCAGAAAATACTACACTACTTATATGATTTATCTGGGTCACCTTGGAAACGGCATTTGCGTGCAGGCAAGCGTCAGCATCGGTCGGGCACCCCTCCTCCTCCTGTAGCTCACGCCAGCGAGCGAACGCTGGACCAATGGTGATCCTCGTCCTGGCTTTTCATTTGTCACTATGCCTTTTTCTTTTAGTGTCCTCTGACAAAACCATTGCCTTCTTCCTTGTAGCTGTTGGTTCGGCCATGACGAAAACATAAAATATACAGACGGCAACGGCAATCAAACGCGAGTTGAGCACTCACGTCAGAATCTGAGGAAGTTGTGGGTGGTGGGGGAAGTGACGTATGCCGTAAAGCGGTCGAATTTTGTAGTTCTTTTTGTGCTCGGGTTCCTACCCGAAACCCGAAGTTACATAGTGCTAGGAAAAGCGATACAGACACCTTCAGGCTACGGCAGACGTGTCATTCAACCTATTGTAAGTCGATGTACCATCTCAATGGGTTTTGGTAATATATTATAAAGGTTGAAAAGTTCCACAGTGTGCCTTTAATATGAGACAAATGTACCATTCACACCTGCTGACAAGAACATGGTATTTGACATTGAACATGACATGATTTTGTTTTGTTGCATTATGCGTTTCTAAGGATTTCTTCGCGAGTTCAGGTTCATATGTGTTCAATCGTGAAGCGGACATTTAAGATGCTTTTCAGGTGTCTCACACAAGGCAGTGTGAAGCCAAGGAGAACACCTTCATCCACTGAGGTCTGTCCAGACAGCCGCACCGTTGGGAGGTGACAGGATTGGTCAAGAAGGGACAGATTATCGTTATGGGGAAGGTGCCAGGGAAGCGGAAGTTTCTCCATGAAGGAATGACACATCAACTGAACAAGTCAAAAGGTCCAGATTGACTCTATGAACTTTGCTCACATCACAGGATCACTGGCAGAAAGCCTGAACGCCTCATCCACCTGCTGGACTCATGCTACATACACCTGGTGAGAACAGGTGTTCTGCAGGTGAACACAGCCCTCTGAGCTTCTACAGATGCTGACATTGCAAAGACAATTTTGAGTTACATCTCAAGGATTACAACAAACGTCTTACCGCGTGACCCCGTAAGTTTTCATTCGAATTTGACCCACGGGGTCAAGGAGGGAACTGTAAGACTGGGAAACTGGTTGAAGCTGGAAATGAACATTTGGCCTTGTAAGAACTGGTTGGAGACACTGTCTTGACCACATGGTCTATTGAAACAAAGGAACTTGCTGAAATAGCATTCGACCTCCCCCTCACGCAGTCTCACCTGATTTACATTTCACCCAGTAACAGCTGAAACTCACATGAGAATATATATATGGTTTGATGTGAATGATTATCATTGAGCATTATGTTTGGTATCATTTGAAATGTCTCAGGAATGAGTGGTACAAATGTCTCATTCCCAAAGTATAAAACAAAAGGTAATAAGGTTTTTTAAGAGTTTAGGGATATCCGGCACACCAATGAATGTGGTCTCCTACTCCCAAGGTGTGAACTCAATGCTAATTTCCACTGTTAGCAAATGTTACCATGTAAATTTACTTCTGCCCCCAGTAAGTCTGGGGGGATGAACACAGTACATTTCCACTGTGAATACAGGTTTACATATGAAATGAGGTCTGGCTATTTAATGGAAGGCAGCAAGGGATCGTGGCTCTTTCTGTATCTCAGATAGCCCGTGAATGCTGAGTCGCCGAGACTCAGCATTCATGTATTTCATGTCGGGTAAAAGATTTTCCTCTTTGTTCTAGAACATTTGATGATTTGCATTGATTATCTTTCAATTGATTATGGAATTATTATAATACATTTACCTGACATAATAAATTGTTATATTTGATTATTCTAACAGACTTTGACTTTATTTTCATTGGAGTTAAAACGAATAGTCAAACATTAACGTCTACTTAATGATGCACAGATATCATTAAAACACTTTCATTCTATGGAGTCAGATGAAACGAGTTAATACATTTAAGACAAAAAGTATTGCATTTAATTATAAATCCCTCTGCCATTGGAAGAGACGGAACGCGCGTTGAGACCTTCACCGCTAATTTGAATGCCGGCATTGGATCAAATTAGCAGGCCTTACAATGGTTTCAACCATGCTTCAATTTACAATTCATTTCCAAGAAAAGGAACAATGGATGCTTCCTTTCCAGATTTCTTTAGACGATTGAGAGTGTGTGTACCTGAGCAGAGCCCACCAGTGACACAGGTAGAGTTCCTGCGGGAAGATGCTGGCGTCACGAGGGGCGACTCTGGCGAAGGACTGCAGCAGTGGGAAATCTGGAGTCAGTTTAGGCACTGAGATCACACAGAAGTCCCGATCCTGTGGAACACATGAACACCACTACAATTAATATCATATTTATTATGTTACATGTCAGATGTAAAAAATGTAAAGTACACATGGATGGACACATGGTTGTGTAGAAATGCAACTGGGTTTGACTTGGGTTTGAAGGGACTGTTCACTACCGTTCAAAAGTTTGTTCACTTTTTAATGTTTTTAAAGAAGTCTATTCTGCTCACCAAGGCTGTATCAAAAATACAGTAAAAACAGTAATATTATGCAATCTTATTACAATTTAAGAGAACTGTTTTCTATTATAATATATGTTAAAATGTAATTTATTCATTGCTACAGTCTTCAGTGTCACATGATCCTCCAGAAATCATTATAATATGCTGATTTATAATAACATATCTTATTATTATCAATGTTGAAAACAGTTGTGGTGCTTAATATTTTTGTGGAAACAATTTTTTTCAGCATTCTTTCATAAATGAATGAAATAGAAATTTATTTTGAAATAGAAGCATTTTGTAACTTTATAAATGTCACTTTTGTCCAATATAATGCATTCTAGCTGAATAAAATAATTGTTTCTTGACAAAAAAAATCTTATTGACCCCAAACTTTTTAAATATCATGTTGTCTTAAACCGGTATGGCTTTATCTTTCACAGTACTCAAAAGGAGATATTTGAAAGAATGTCACTCTGCTATTTTCCAGATATGACAAAAACTTAATATTCATAATAATCTATAATCTATGAACTACCTTTGGTACTTTTTGTAGGAAAAAAAAGTCATAGAGCAGCTGGAGCAACATAAGGGGGGAGTAAATGATGCCAATTTTAATTTTTGGGTGAATTAATACTTCAGTGTATTGAGTATTTGGGTGATTCCTTTAATGAGCTGATTTGTGTACTTACCGGAAAAAGTTTAAACAGGTACGGCAAGAAATCGGCTGATCTTTGAGGAAAGAAGACGACAACAGAAATGATCATTTATGAGCATCATCTGTCCCGTAAGAGCAATGAGAAAGGCTGCCATGTTGGGCACTAGAAAGCGAGTGTGGCCTAGTTGGTCCCGCTGTCACTTTAAGCATTCTACTCATTAATTACATGTTCATGCTCTGTGGGTGGGACAGGCCTCCATATTCCACAACAGCTGGCCAATAAGGTGGCACACAGACCAGCTCAGCAGGAGCCAAATAACACTCAGACTGATTTTTACAACAGCTCTTCACTGAAAGCCACTGGAGCTCGGCCAGACAGTTTTCATTTAACCAAATTTCATTTAACCAGTAGCTTAACTGATAACTGATAGCTTATATACTTTAGAGGAGCTATATTTTTTACACATTTATAGCTTTTCCCATTAAAGTCATGGTTTCTTGCACCAAAAGAAGTCATAATAGAGTTCTTCATGAAACCTGTCCACCCTCTCTATGACATCTTGAATTAAAATGGCTGTTCTGGTTGTTGCTAGAATGTTCTGGCAGGCTTTACAATGTTTTAAGTGGTTTTACACTGTAAAAAATAATATCTAAAGGTTGTAAATAAAACAAAGATTATTAGAGTAGGTTTTACAAGAAAATTCCATTTAAGCCTTCCTACCTCAAATTTTCAAGTTTAATTCATTGTGTTACTTACCATTTCTTTGTCATTATTTTTGGAATTTACTAGCATTCTAGACTCTGTACTAGTCTAAGACGTCCTTACCTCATTTCAAACTTCTTTTCCATGGTGAAGAGCTGGATGGAGAATGCATTAGGAGGCCCGTCTGGATTAGAGTCCACTGTGTCTTTGATGCTTGACTCAACATACTCTAGCTAGTTAGAAAAATCAATAGAGAGACAAAAATAGGCATTTTACACGAGATACTTGACATGAACCACATTTGTAGTGGTTCCTAAATATAGTAACCATAATTAAAATGCAAAAGAAGTGAGAAATGTCTCAAAGATGATGTTTAGCTCTGACCTGAGATATGCCAGTAGGCTCGTCTTTACTCTCTTTTTCTGCCATCAGTTCACCCTGTGAATTTCATTTAGATTAGTAAAGGAGCTGGAAATCCTACATAAATGATCCCTAGTGAGCACCATTAAACATGCTGAACGTGTCTTTTGAAACTCACTTGCACAGGTTCTTTGGCTTCAGAAGATTCCTGGGCATCAGTGACATGGTTTTCCTCCTCTAGTGGTTGCGATTCTTCTGGTGGTTCCTCTTGATGTGCTGAATTTGTCTTTCTCAGTCCTTCAAATGCTCCAAGTTCATAGCACTGATTGAGAAGCTTCAAATCCATTTGACCACTTACAGTGACAAAGCCTACGACAGCTCCTTCACTCTGTGTAAGAACACACACACACACACACAGGTAGTTAATAAACAGGTAGAATAATATTGCATTCTTTGTATTACAGTAAAAATGAGTTTTTTAATCATATGATAATCATTATTTGGGGTACAATAATGGTACTAAATAGGCTAATTTTTCTTAAAGAAACATATAATTCCTTTCTATTTATTTTTTATTTTTGGGGTTAAATATAACTTGGGCATGCTCCTGACAGATTTCATGAAATTCGCCCATATATAATTTAAAACTCTCATAAAAGACCTAGAAAAACAACACCTCTGTAATAATTTATGAATTTTCTCTGGAAAAACTGTTTTTTTTGTAATCCTCCTGGGCAATGTAGTACAGTTGTCCTGCTGAATAGATGGGACATTCAGACAAAAGGAAAAACTGCTACAGATGTCTGGACACAATATGTTCAGTGTGAGTATGTCTTGGCAGGGCATGAGCTCTCATCTGCCATATGTCGCATGAACACATGTCAGCATGCGCCGCAGGGGAGAGAGTGGGGCGATCTGTCGTCCTGTCATTCCTGAGAAAACACCAACTAACACAATTTCTGCCCCAGGTTTTTCAATAGATAGAAGCAAGAGGCATACAAAATTCTCTAGTTGCTCTCCATTTCGTTGTCTAAGAGAAAAACCTGATAGATTTTAAGTTAAAAAATAGGAAAAATGACCTTCTTCTTAAAACAAATGATCTGAGCTTTAATATCCACATTCATTGTTTAGCTCTAAAGATAAGCTCCCAATTGTAAAAAAAACAAAACAACAACGACCGTGACTAACTTCACAGACGACTGAATGGTTCTCCTCATCTTGAGCCTCGATGAGCTCAGACAGGAAGTACGGCCCGTGGGACTCCACCAGTGGCGTGATCTGCTCCGCAAATATGTGCATGATGTCATCGAGATCCTCTACTCTGGGGAATTTGAAGTTATTGCATCGGGAATTTAATTCATCGCTGTGCTGCAAATGTCCTATTTTGATAGAAACTGTGTGCAGCAGGACAAAAACAGTCTAGACGTGGATTATGATCGGCTTTACACTAGATGAAATACACAAATGTCTGAGTGAATTTCACAGAAACATGGCTATGTCATATTTCACCCCAAATACAAGTGAAGAAAAATAGAGAAATTATATTTTGCACAGAGAAAATGAATATTTTAGGACCATCACGATTTTTTCACGAATTGTGACATTATTTTTTATGTCAATTAAGCACATTCCCCCTATTATTGTACAGTTCATGGATGTTTTACTTTGTAGTTCTTTGTTATTTTCATTGTTCTTATTGAGGATTCTCATTAGTTTTGCATTAATACAAGACTATTGAAATATTTGTCACTAATACAGAAAACATTAACAATTTTAAATTTAACAAATTTAGCATAAATTTAGCATAACAGTACCATGATATTAAAACGCTTTACAATTAAAAAGATTACATATTTATAAATATAAATTGTAATTCAATATTTTAACATTTATTATATTAATTAAAAATCTAATAAAATACACATAATATATATATATATATATATAATATTAAATTAAAATGTATTTAAAAAATGTGCTTAATTCTTATGAACAAAATGTCACAATGCAGTGAAATATGACCCAGCCATGCTCTTCTCCATTTCCATGAGATTCACCAGTCCATGAGTGAGTGAGAAGTGTTTGTAAACCTGGCTCTGCGGATGTGAAGTCGAGGGCAGTGACTGTGTCGATGACAGACGTAGGCTGAATACTGAACTTCCTCCTTAACAGGAGTCAGGGGTTCAAAGATCTTCTCCAGTGCTGCCCCTGATATGAAAAGCATGACAGAAAACATGCCTTAACATATTGAACAATGTTACTGTCAATGCCAGCATACAAAACATATCCAAAGTGATATTAATTCTTACCAAGTGAGCCTCTGTAGGGAGTCAGAAGGCAGATGTATTCCAGCTCCACAATGGCATTGAAAACTGTTCTAGAAGTTGCATCGGAAGGAAATAAAAATCTTTGATCATGAAATTTAATATAACATGATTGAGTGGATACAGGAAGGCACAGTCAATACAATTTGTGCTGCCTAAGGTCATATTTACTCTAACTAAATAACAATAGACAAATCTGTCTGGTTTTATTAAGTGAAATATAAACCAATGAGCAGACTGTGTGTATTCATGTAAAAGGGCCGAACTGTAATTCTTATAGGTGAACTTCACAAAGCCTGTTCACCTTTACAAAGGAGTTTGCTTTTACCTCACTATCTCTTTAGCGCCCCCTATGGAGAAACCAGGCTGAGCCACAAAAAGACGCAGGAAAAGAGTGTTCATGGGCTGGAAAAAAGAGAAACAAGACTATCAGGGGGAGTTAAAAAAATCTATGTTAAATATTAATGGACACATTGGCATATTTGCTTTGCTTACAGTGAATTTCTGGCCATCTACATGATTCTGAAGTAAATTCTCCCAGCATGCCTGATCCACCAGCTCTTCAATGGGGTGATCTGAGAAAGATGCATGGGCGAGCACTACACTCTTAGTGGTGCTCAGGGTCACGGCTAAATTTGCTTTCTCACTGCAATGAGAAATGAAAACAAAAATATCCTTTATAATTGTCCAATTTACACTTTAAATATGGCACAGAAGTGCTTCTGAACTGGCAATCCGGTGTCTTTACACAGACTGTGGCATAAATGCATTTACACAGCAGTTTTAATAGTGTACATTAGTACTACAAAAGCTGAGGTGTGTCAGAGCAGGCATGATTAAGTCTGGCTTTTATGCAGCATTATGTCTTTACACAGAATTGTGAGCAAGCACAGAGCAGCCTTAAATCAGCTGTGTAAAGAAGCCTAAAGAAACAAGTCTGAGCAATAACCTACTTCTGATTTTGACTGTGACCTGAGAATGTTTATAACGTTTCCTGAGTTTATATAATCTATGGGTAAATATCACAATATCCAGCTCAGAAAATATCATATTTCACACCAAAATCAAATAGCGCATTTTACAATACAGATTGTTTCAAAGTAAATGTTCAGTAAAAAAACAGGAAAATAACGAACAATGATGCAAGCTTAATCAGATATAAGAAATATATAAATATATTATATAAATACATGTATATATAACAAAGTTTGTAAATATATAATACTGTATGTGTGTAATTATATATAACATATAGGTGCTGTCAAATGGATTAATCACGATTAATCACATCTAAAAGATGTTTGAGTTTATATAATATAGGTGTGTGACATATATATACGATATACATATGTATGTATATATATTGGATTCATTTAGATTATTATTATTTTTTTTTTACTTTTAACAAACTCATTTTAACTGACTGACTCTTAACACTTACAGAAGATGGATGACATTGAGTCTCCCAAACACAGCAACAGCTGCAGGCCTGATCAGACGATCGATCTCTTCAGCATCCGACCATTCTGTCCTCCTCACAGTCACACTTTCAGCTTGACCAGTGGATGAAGTGATGGTGCTCATTTTAAATCTAATACAATAAACAAATATGATTACATACAGACACAAACTATGTTGTAGCTGTAAAATTTATTTTATTTTCATGTCTACGCGACCAGTCAAACGTTTAGACACACACTGAATTGGATTATTTACGTATGTTTAGTTAGAGCTTCGTCACTCGTACACAATAAATAAGAAAAACAATGTTCATTCAGTTACATTGAAGAAAAGTGTCATATAAAGACAATATAAACAGACCGTTTGAGGATACTAAAAACCGGTGTTTTAAAAGCAGTAATTTGCATGTAATATTTCATCTGCAGTTCGCTAACATAGACTGTAAAAAATAGGTTCACTAACCGTTAGCAAGCGTCCTGTAACCATGGTGACGGGACTCCATGACGTAGCTGAAGTCAAAGGTTACAGCGCGCGTCACGACAGACGCGACTCGCGACACACGGCATTGAAACGTCGCTAATGCTTTAGCGGGTTATCGAAGTTTAAAAACGTAAATAAACACGTAAAGGTTCCTTATACCAAAGTGACAGGAGCGTAATAATCATGGCGTCCACCGCGGCGGGTAAACAGAGAATCCCGAAAGTGGCGAAGGTAACAAATAATGTTTTATGAGTTAGCATTAGCATGTAAACAACGTGAAGTTGTTGTGTTGTGTTCCTCTGTAAACAACTGCAATATTATATTTTGAGTTGTAATTAAACGTGTTAAACATTGTTTAATTGTGTATTTATTGTACGTTATGTGTTCAGGTGAAGAATAAAGCCCCTGCGGAGGTGCAAATCACCGCAGAGCAGCTGCTCAGAGAGGCGAAAGAGAGAGAGCTAGAGCTGCTGCCTCCTCCACCCAAACAGAAGATCACAGACAAGGAAGAGCTCAACGACTATAAACTGAGGAAGAGAAAGGTATGAGCGCCATATATCTGTATGATCACGACATTATTTGCAAAAATACATCATCATGGTATCAAAATATAGTACCATGGTGCCTGATGTATACCATAGTAGTGCTGTATGGTTATTATTAGCATGTACCATGATATATTAGCATATCAGGATATTGGCCAAAATATGGTATTACCATAGTACATATCCCGTTGTTATGGTATGTGCCCCCAAAACATATTGTTAGCAAGGGACATACAATAAAACTTGTTTTTAAACTATGTACGATGGCAACACAATGACATTACCATGGTACATGCCTGGAAAACAGGGTGTTGTCATGGTATTTGCCCCAAAAAGCATAGCATTAGCAAGGTGCATGGCATAAAACATGATATTGTTATGGTTCATGTTTTAAAAACATGAAATTTCTATGGTACATGTCCAGAAAACATGGTGTTGTCATGGTATGTGCCTCATAAACATAATATTAGCAAGGTGCATGCAATAAAACAAGGTTTTCTTTGCATGCACAATGGCAATACTATGACATTACCATATTGTACATGCCCAGAAAACATGGTTGTCATAGTATGTGCCTGACATGACATGTTCAGGAAAATATGGTATTACCATAGTACATGCAGGCCTCACAAAATTTCTAAATTGCTGGTAGCCCTTTTGGCAGGCACTATTCAGATTTTGGTAGCCTGAAATGAATTTTACTAGCCCAAATAAAAAGACAATTTTTAATGTAGAAAATTGGTTAGGAGTCAAAACATCAATCAAAAACTTTTTCAAAACACTAATATCAACAATCGAATATAAAAAAATCTAATTAGAATCATCAATACAAATATGCATCTGGTTCTAACTGACATGAAATTTGTGTGAACAGTATGGAACATGAATCAGTCTGTCAGATTTTGAATCGGAGATATCAACTGAAGTCACAAATGAGTAAACCCCACTCGATGTTGAAGGCATAGCGTCTCCGTCAGCTTTCTCCTCCTGTGCATCAGTCTCCACTTCTCTGCTCTTTTTTTTCTTGCTGGGGTTTTATGTTTCAGGTGTCTTGAACCTATTTCAGCAGAAAATACTGACACTGCCTTGTCAGGGCAAAAAGATTCAGTGTCAAAACACTGTCACCTTGTGGTAGGTCAGATTTATAGCAGCCATAAACGTGTTAATTTTCTGATTAAATAATTCACATATTGTAGTGTAGCAATACATAATAATAATACCAGACTTTTTTGAGGCAAGTAAATGGTGTAAAATCTAATTATTTTATGCTGTTTATATTGCAGAATATATGATGGTCAAGTCACCTTTACTTATGTAGCGCTTTTTACAATACAGATTTTTTTGTTTCAAAGCAGCTTTACAGTGATAGTGTGTTAGCACATGGATTCAAACATTCTGACACGCAAAGTAAAGCATTCATGTGAAAGTGGAGATTTAATTTTTATTGATCATGTGTTTCTCTTAAAACAGGCATTCATGAGAAATTTCGCTGCGGATAAAATCAGCATGATCAAAAACTTGCGCAGTCATATTTTTCCTTACAATAACTAGTCAATAATGTGAATAAAGGGAGGAATTTGATTACACTATTTCAGATAGCCCGTCGGGCAGGCCGGTTATGCATTTTGGTAGCCCGACTGGAAAACTCAATAGCCCCGGGACGTTGGGCTAGCGATTTTTGCAATCCCTGACATGTCCAGAAAACATTGTTTTGTCATGGTATATGCCTCTAAAAGCATATCATTAGCAGTGTACATGCAATAAAACATATTATCATGGTTTTAAAACATGACCTTACCATGGTACATGTCCAGAAAAATATGGTATTACTATAGTACATGTCCAAAACATGGTATTACCATATTACACGTCTACAAAACATTGTTTTGTCATGGCATATGCCTCAAAAAGCATAGCATTAGCAATGTACATGCAATAGAACATATTATTGTCATGATTGATAGTTTAAAAACATGACTTTACCATGGTACATGTCCAGAAAAATATGGTATTACCATATTGCATGTCCAAAAAAGGGTTTTGTCAATACCATCATAGTGTACAGGTCCTTCTAAAAAAATTAGCATATTGTGATAGTTCATTATTTTCCATAATGTAATGATAAAAATTAAACTTTCATATATTTTAGATTCATTGCACACCAACTGAAATATTTCAGGTCTTTTATTGTTTTAATACTGATGATTTTGGCATACAGCTCATGAAAACCCAAAATTCCTGTCTCAAAAAATTAGCATATTTCATCCGACCAATAAAATAAGTGTTTTTAATACAAAAAAAAGTCAACCTTCAAATAGTTATGTTCAGTTATGCACTCAATAGTCAATACTTGGTCGGGAATCCTTTTGCAGAAATGACTGCTTCAATGCGGCGTGGCATGGAGGCAATCAGCCTGTGGCACTGCTGAGGTGTTATGGAGGCCCAGGATGCTTCGATAGCGGCCTTAAGCTCATCCAGAGTGTTGGGTCTTGCGTCTCTCAACTTTCTCTTCACAATATGGGGTTCAGGTCAGGAGAGTTGGCAGGCCAATTGAGCACAGTAATACCATGGTCAGTAAACCATTTACCAGTGGTTTTGGCACTGTGTGCAGGTGCCAGGTCGTGCTGAAAAATGAAATCTTCATCTCCATAAAGCTTTTCAGCAGATGGAAGCATGAAGTGCTCCAAAATCTCCTGATAGCTAGCTGCATTGACCCTGCCCTTGATAAAACACAGTGCACCAACACCAGCAGCTGACATGGCACCCCAGACCATCACTGACTGTGGGTACTTGACACTGGACTTCAGGCATTTTGGCATTTTCTTTCTCCCCAGTCTTCCTCCAGACTCTGGCACCTTGATTTCCGAATGACATGCAAAACTGAGCAACAGTCCAGTGCTGCTTCTCTGTAGCCCAGGTCAGGCGCTTCTGCCGCTGTTTCTGGTTCAAAAGTGGCTTGACCTGGGGAATTCGGCACCTGTAGCCCATTTCCTGCACACGCCTGTGCACGGTGGCTCTGGATGTTTCTACTCCAGACTCAGTCCACTGCTTCCACAGGTCCCCCAAGGTCTGGAATCGGTCCTTCTCCACAATCTTCCTCAGGGTCCGGTCACCTCTTCTCGTTTTGCAGCGTTTTTTGCCACACTTTTTCCTTCCCACAGACTTCCCACTGAGGTGCCTTGATACAGCACTCTGGGAACAGCCTATTTGTTCAGAAATTTCTTTCTGCCTTACCCTCTTGCTTGAGGGTGTCAATGATGGCCTTCTGGACAGCAGTCAGGTCAGCAGTCTTACCCATGATTGTGGTTTTGAGTAATGAAACAGGCTGGGAGTTTTTAAAAGCCTCAGGAATCTTTTGCAGGTGTTTAGAGTTAATTAGTTGATTCAGATGATTAGGTTAATAGCTTGTTTAGAGACCCTTTTCATGATATGCTAATTTTTTGAGACAGGAATTTTGGGTTTTCATGAGCTGTATGCCAAAATCATCAGTATTAAAACAATAAAAGACCTGAAATATTTCAGTTGGTGTGCAATGAATCTAAAATATATGAAAGTTTAATTTTTATAATTACATTATGGAAAATAATGAACTTTATCACAATATGCTATTTTTTTGAGAAGGACTTGTGTATATATATATATAAACCAAAGAAATCAATAAAGTTCATTTTTTTCTCTCATCTCAGGCGTTTGAAGACAACATCAGGAAGAACAGAACTGTCATCAGCAACTGGATCAAGTACGCACAATGGGAGGAGAGCCTGCAAGAGGTCCAGAGGTGAGTTTCTGTTCAGCGCCTACTGATTGAATTGTGGACTGGAGGTGATTTCCTTAACTTTTTTCTTTTCATTGTTGTCAGAGCTCGCTCCATCTACGAGCGTGCGCTCGATGTGGATCACCGCAATATCACACTGTGGCTGAAGTATGCAGAGATGGAGATGAAGAACCGGCAGGTGAATCACTCTCGCAACATTTGGGACCGAGCCATCACCATCCTGCCCCGTGTGAATCAGTTCTGGTACGCTTTCTCCTCATGATTATATTAGGGTTGTCACGGTACCACAATTCCAGATTCTCAGTACTAATTTGGGTACCATAGCAAA